TCATAAATGACTGATTGATAAATCCGTGAATGTCGTAATATTATTGGTATACGTACAACTACTGAAGCCCGCGTCATATTTCAATGATTATTTGTTTTTAAAATGTATTTAAGCAACAAGGTACGAGAGGCAGTACTTTCTCATCCAATAGTGTAACAGTTCGAAGGTGTTAGGCCGACGCGCAGCGGAGGCCCGGCCACCCTCGAACTGTTACACTATTGAAGATAAAGTACTGCCTCTAGTACCTTATTGTTTTTACAATGTAGCAGTTACTATAATAGTAAGTAAATAGCTGCCTCTCAGCACAAAATTGTTGTAGCCACCAAACGTTGTAGAGAAAATAGTTCCCGTACGTGTGTCTGTTGCTATGCAACAGACGAAAGGCAACAAAAAAACAAGATCGGTATCGAAATCCTTTGCAGCGTTTCCGGGCTTCTTTTTGGCGATTGCCACCGCGCTAAAAACTGAAATGACAAAGTGATGGTCGCACAAAATCTAACTGACTAACTAACTTTGAGTGCGCAGTGAAATGTAATGCTCAGGATGAGGTAAACAGGCACTGTACATTATGGCTCAATAATGTGACTGACTCACTCTCAACCAATCAGAACGCTGGATTTCATCAATCAGAATGCTGGATTTCATCAACCTGTATTATAACAAAATAACAACATGTAATAAAATCTAAAAAGGCTCAAAAATGCCATTTTCTATTTAATATTCAACCAAAGAATGTAATGGTTCACATAGAATACACTCAAACTAAACAGTAAAGTCATGCAGGAGCCACTGCAGCAACCTGTCATTATCGAACCAGTGGCTGAATTCTGCGTATGTTGACCACGGTCCTGTAAAGAATGCGTTGGTGAACACGAGGCAGTTGTTCCATGGCTGAAAGCAACAACGCCGGCTGCTCGGTTGTTTGTTGTGTGGCAACAACTGTCAAACTGCACGTGAAAATGATACAACATAAGTATGATAGTCTGAAACAGCTGAGGATCTGGAGATGATCGCTTACTTAGCTCGAGACGATGTGAAAACAATGTGTTTGCTGTGAAACGGAACAGGTTGTGAGCCTTTATTCCTTAGCCCTACAGATGTAGAGATGACAGCACAGCACCACGGAGCAGATACAGGACAGGAAGTGTAATTATCTGCTGCTGCCGCTGCTCTTTGAAGACACAGGGGAAGATGCCAGACAGTCCGACTGGCAAAGAGGGGCAGGAGGGGGGGCAGAGAGAGAGAGAGAGAGAGGGAGAGAGAGATAGTGTTGAGGACTGAATTCACTAAATTGTGAATGTGAGTGGAGTGAGGAAAGTGCAGAGGGAGTATCACACTTTGCATCCCCGATCGAGAAGGAAAAAAAAGTCAAACTGAGTCAAAATCAGAGGGACAGTTGTTCACATCCATCCTGCTTTTTCTTTGCCTGACAGCTGCTGAAAGCAGCGGGCGAGAAGAACAAGAGCAAAGAAAAATGAAGAGAATGTGTGTGAGACGCAGAGGGGACGCGGAGGGGACGGGACGCCCGGGACAAGGAAGTGATGGATTGAGATAGTGCCGGCAATGGGGACTGAGAGTGATTGTCATCATCATCATGAACAATGACTCTCTGATGGAGCGCAGGCCTGACGTGGGTTTTTTTCGACCCAGCGGAGAAAGGAGCGAGGATAAGGAGGAGGAAGGGGCGGCGGGGAGGAGGAGGAGGAGCAGGCGCCCGTCCGCCCCGCCCGCCGCCCTTTTCTTCTATCTAACTGGCGCCGCCTCACCCCAAAGTTCCAGCATCTGCCAAACAGAAAGAAGTTTGGTGCCATGAGATATATCAAAAAAAGAGCCTCCCGTTTGTTGGCCACAATGAGGGATTCTGTTCCGTTCGGCCAAACAGGGTTTTAACCCCCCCCCCGGGGGATATACACACACACACACACACACACACACACACACACACACCCTGCCTCCCCTTGTAAACAATCCCAGTGTGTGTGTGTGTGTGTGTGTGTGTGAGCAGCGAGCGGCTCTCAGAGCTCCACATCCAGTGCAGCTGTGGGCCGGCCGACAGCTGACGCCGGGCTGTGGGTCTCTGCTCCCTCCTCCCCACCAACCCGGGCCTCCTCTTCTTCTTCTGTGTTTCCGTGAAGCAGACCTGTAATTTTCACAGCTGTGTCTCTGGCGTCGCGCCACAGCGAGTCGGGGGAGGGAGCGAGAGAGAGACTGGGAGGGAGGGAGGAAGGGAGGGAGAGGCCGGCTAATGGCTTTCAGAGGAGCACGAGCGGCAGCAGAGCTTTGCGATTCTGAGGCACCCAAGATTCAAACCAGGGGAAATACTCAAATGACTGAAACTTTGTAACAAACAAAGTGCAGTGTTTTGTCAAACATGTGGGAGCCACAAAGGTTTATAATTAGGTCTTGTTTTCACTGTTTTCTTCATCGCGTCTATTTGTTAGGATAACATTGAGTGTATTAATGCAAAGTACCTGCTGGAACACTTTAATGACAGGTTGAATCAGACAGGTGGTGGTGAGGTCAACGGTTTAGTTGGGTTAGTTTGTGTTATTTAGAGGTAAAACACAAAGAGAGTCCGGCCTAAATGACGGTAATAATCCCTAATTGCCGGGAACCTCTGGCACGCTCAACTTAGTAAATACAGAGTGTTGAGGTTGAACCTGGAAGTCAGTCCGAACACCGACACTGATGTTTTCAATCTAACTTTTATTTCAGTCTCCAGGTCCAGACAGTACAAACCATTAAATTGTATACTTTTCAATTGTGTTGTGTCACAATGTTTTCTCGTCCAAAGGAGATTCATTAGCCCGGGGTGTTAAATAGTTTGACCTCTTGGCGTTTCTTGCCCTGTTCTTTCCCTGTTTACCAAAGCCGCCATAATCCCGGGAACGTCTCCGTCTCAAAGGCCAGCGGCCACATGAGCAAATACTGCCCAGGTGAAGTAACATATACTGAGACGAGAAGATGAAGCTGCTGAAAAAAGTAAAGCAAGAGCACCTGACAGAACTAGATTAAAGAGTTGTTAGCGGGCGCTGAAAGGAATTCAAAAGGAATCAGGCGATCTGAGTTTCTGTTAGATAATATTTAACACGCGTTTGTGGCACCGCAGCGTGACATGCGTTTAGGAGGAAAAAAAAGGAACTTGTCAGCTACGGTACTTTTCCAGTAACTTCGTGAACTGCAAAGAGGAGCGAGATGTTGTTTCCACGTCCTAGAATAGACTTGTATGCATTTGAGCCGCGCCGCACAACGGTATGAACAACAATAATGTGCTGACAACAGGAACATTTCTGTTGAATTCTCGTCTCTGCTGTGTTTCTTTTTTAAACACACGTTGCCTGAATCTGAGCAATAAGTATCCGTCTCCCTCGGCAGAGACGACAGTGTGTTTGGGTGACAGGAGGCATGTTCCCCTCCTCCTCCTCCTCCTCCTCCTTTCTCTATTTCTCTATCTCTATCCCTTTGTGGCAACGACAGCACACTTCTTCATCAATAATAGGATTATGTCCAGCTTTATGGCTCACGTGTGGGCACCTCTCTATTCAACAAGCTGCCACGACAGGCCTGTCAAAAGTAGGCTGCAGGGAACTGACTGCAGATGCAACAATATATTCATCGTGTCACGAGACGCTACAACCTCGAGTGATACTGAATGACTGATAGTTTGATTTATAAATAAATAAATTCTGCTACTGCCTGTATTTCACTATATAACAACATCAAACTTGGAGCAACATTTTAAGAAGAAATAGCACGGTCAAGATTAAGATGTTACATACACACCCTAGAAGTAATAACAGCACAATGGGCCACTTCTTGAAAAGTCAAAAGCAGGTGAAACAAAAGGGTGTTTCCACCATCACAGACCACGTCCTCCTCTGGACAAACATTCCCCTCAAACATTAGGATTTCCCCGAGTACGATATCAATCGCTAACTTGTTCCCATTCCTTCAATTCGGGGCGCAGACGGGTCCATTCTGACACTACAAAGACACCAAGCGCTGTCGGGTGGTTGACTGGTTCCACTGTGTCTACTGAGCATCTAACTAACTTATGGATAAAATGAGATGCAGCTTTATTTATCTCAAAACAAAAATATCTGTCTATATAAATCTATATAGTGGCAAAAATGCATCAGCCTTCATAAACTGCAGCCGAACACGTTTGATTCCTTCATTACACTTGATAAAGGCAGATGCATCCGTCTTTTGATAGGTGTTCTGTGCAGCACTTGGATCCAATTATTCAAATAAATTATTATTCCCTTGTTCCTGGTTGACTGGCCTTTTGTCTTTGCCCATTTGGACTTTGGGTCTTTAAACTTCTGTTTGCACTTTAAACGCCTCTAAATCAATCAATGTTTCCAGTCTTCTTTCTGTCCCTTAGAAGACCACAAGAATTATCTTCAAAATCTACTTAAAGTATCACAAGCAGAATGGAAAATGACAATTTTATATCATCAAACGCTACAATATTATATAACATTCAACAACTAATCTCTATTTGATATGCTTTGTTAGTGTACCGGGACACATTTAATGGACAATATGTCCCTCAGAGACGTATTAGGTAGCATGAAATGTACACACTGCAGTACAAGTACCTCAAAGGAGTACACACAAGTGACGTTTTTGAGTGAATGTTGCCCATAGTCAGGCTTACAGACCGAGAGCCACAGATATTCCGTTCATTATGTTGGAAAAGCAGCACACATCACCACTGGAGACAATTCGGTTGACTAATTGATTAATCCGCTCATCACTCAGCTGCAGATCCAAAAGAGCCAAACTAAAGAAAATACAGGACAAGGAGCTTCCGACGCCTCCAACGCGTCTCCTTGTGGCTTAGAAACACCTCTGAGCTCCAGGAAACACCCAGAAACAACAGCAGCAGAGCAGCTTCCAACTTGACTCCAACAGAAGCTGCTCGGGGGACATTTTTTCTGCGATCCCGAGGAGGAGGAGGAGGAGGAGGAGGTCTGAACCGAGTCGCTACTCACCGCTCAGCCGATGAAGAAAGGCAACAGAAAGCCCTTTAAAGTTTCCTTTCCGGGGATTTTACCCCAGGAGCCAGAAGAGAAGGGAACGATCACTTAATCCGTCCGTAGCCGACACATTACTAACCCCTCCACCCCATCCACCTCCACCCCCCCCCCAAAAAAAGAAAGAAGGTTCGAGCCCGTTCTGCGCCCCACGCGTATTATCCAGCGGCACGAGTTGGAGGTCGTTTGCGACTCCGGGGAAGGCGGATCGCTTCCACGGGGAGACGCGTCAGGTGTGCTGCGAGCGGAGAGGGAGGAAAACACTCATGTTGAGTTGATCGCCAGAGTCTCTCTGTCTCTCCGTGTCTCCCCTTCCTTCACTCCGCGCTGCGCCGCTCCGTGCGCTTTACGCGTAAAATAAAATAAAAAGAACGCGACGCTTCCAACCGCAATCTCCGGTTTTGCGGAAGATGGAAGCGAGGCGCGCTGAACACTTCGCGGAGCTGCAGGCGAACTACGGCTCACTTCAGCGTGTTTTTACATAACAGCATCATCCGCTTTCTTTTCCTTTTTTTGTATGTTGACGCATCGCGTAGCGAAAACATGGAGTTTCTTAAAGGGCCACGGACGCGCCGCGCACATGTCACCACTGACAGATGGCTTTCGCCCCGTTAATGTCTTTAAGCCCTCTTCTTTTGACACGTGGGTTAACCCTTGGCAGCGGGGGAGACTTCGGGGAAGGGAGGGAGAGGGGGGGGGGTCGGAATATTTGATAGACGGATGATGGTCGACACATTTTGGTTGTCGGGGTTAAACTTGGTTTTGTTTTGTCCTGCTTTCCTTGTTTTTCCCTGCAGCTTATCACATGTGTGCATATATATATAACACACACACACACACACACACACACATATATATATATAATAAATAACATTGAGCCTCCTGCTGGATGGGTATACAATGAATAGATGTCCATTATCCTGGGGCCAGTCGGATTATTCGTATTTGACTGAAGTCAAAACTAATCATTTATTGATGAATCCTTTCATAGGATTCACCCCTTTGTCCCGTGTTTACTCCCATTTGGTAATATATGTGTATAATTCTTCATGCATTCATAAGTTGCAAAGTACAATTTTTAATAAATGGAGGCTTGAAGACGAGTATTGAGAAACCACAAGTCTTACTGGCTTATAACTGAACTAAATAGATTTGTTCACACACTTACATTATGGTGCTTGGTTCTGGATGAACAGCGCTGGGATGTTCTCATTTAGAAAGTGACTCGAGTCTCATTTCTGAGGTAAACCATCATCCTGCAGCTCATTACTGAGAAAGGAAAGAATGGGCCACCTGCCCGTCTCACACAGGAAACAAGTAGGTGTGATTGATGGTCTTTGAGAACCCGCCGGTCCACAGAAGAGTCAAATTGTTAAGAAATTTAGACCATTGAAAATCATTCATTTGTTCACATTATTGTTTACTGCTTTGCTTGAGCAGCTCCTTCATCACAACTATTGTTATTTCAATGCATCGGTAAAAACACTTTGATACCGTTGATACTTTTTATTGTAAATGACTGAACTTCTTCAAAACACTGTTGACGTCTCCTTAAATAACCGTCCATTTCTCCATCAATTCCAGGAAGCGTCTGTGGTCACAAGGAAGTTGAAATAGAAATGACAGTAAACTTGAAGGGTTATTGAAGCAAATCTATTCTTGCAGAAACAAAAATCGTGCTGCAAATCATGCTGTAATTTCTCATTCTAGTTGAGTATGTTAGAGGAAATGTGGTCTTGTTTCCTGTGAAGGGGAAATCCTCCCTGAATAGACCAGTATTAAGTGCAGTTCAATCATTGGAACTCTTTGCCTTCCCCAGAAACAAGGAGCACCGTGATCCAGCTACACAGAAACATGTATGTTGGCTTTACAATGTTTTCCTCAAATCTTTCAAGAAAATGACACAAAATCAATTCCAGAAATTAAAAGGTTTGTTTATTCATGCTAAACAAAACTATATTATATATCACACATTATCTACATTTAGTCCATTGGAGAAGAGAGGAGAAAGGAATCGTGAGTTTCTCCAGCTGGACGGTTCAGCCAGAAGACAAAGCCAAAACCGTTGGGGAAAAAAAAAAAAAAATGGACAAACTGTTTCTAATTCTCTACAACAGAATACTCACATATACACTTTTCCCAAAACTCATTGCCAAGAAATCGGTGATCAGTTTGCAGTGAAATCATGAAAGTGAAGTAACAAAGCTCATGAGACTTTTTAATGTTTAATTTAACGAGTGATATTCACCTGTAAGGCTTATAGAATTATAATTACACAGTATTCACAATCTATTAATTCATTGATAATTCAAGCATCAGTATCGTCTCTGGTTTATGTGGCTGAATTCTTAAGAATAATGCTATTGCTTTATTGGCATTCCGGTGGTTATCAAGTCGATGTCACGAACCAGATATAAAAAATTGAGACACTCAACATGGTCATTTGCATGAAACTCGTCACATTACCTTTATCTTTGAATGATTTCACGTACGACACATCTGGGTTGATGAATAAAAATGCTGTGCGACAATTATTCAGAAACAGACAGCAGCAACGGATGGTTCCGTTTAAGGCCCCCGGGTGTGAGTAACGGCGTTCGTCCACGCGATTCCTCGACGTGGATCGGATCACTTGTACATGGCGTTGAAAGCTCGGCCGATAATCAGCCGGCGCACTTCGCTTGTGCCGGCGCCAATTTCGTACAGCTTCGCGTCGCGCAAGAATCGCCCCATGGGGTAGTCGTTGATGTAGCCGTTCCCACCTGTTGGGGGGAGTGATTACATCATTTAGAAGGAAGTGCGGTTGCTTCAGAGCCCTCATACTGCATTGTGTTAAATGCACACTAAATCTATTTTGGCATAAACAATCACACGTGTACACTATCTACTAAAAGATTAGACATTTATGTCATTTAGAGGGAAGGAGAGGATAATGTGTCATAAGCTCTCACTTACATCCAGATGGGCATTAAGTGAAACCGCTAATTTAACAAGGACATAGCGAGGCTCCTTCCTTACGTAAGTACAGAAACGCTGCATGTAACGAGGCTACGAAGCAGTCAAATCAGGAAGACGGCTCTATTATTTCTAAACTACCCCCTCATTCATCACTTCCACGAAGCCACTAACTGGAGGGAACTTCCTCCACCGTCACACAATACAATAGAGTCAACCTCTACCATTTATTAACCAAATTAGCTGTAGAGTCATGCGTTCAGCTCCTCGATGACTAACATCAAAACCACCAAAGCGGTCACTGAACCCTACATGAAGTCGCCGTACTTACCCAAACACTGAATGCCGTCCAAAGCAACCTGGGTGGCATTCTCTGCACAGTAGAGGATGACTCCAGCACAGTCCTGCAATGACAGAACGGATGAAACCACCATCTGACACGACATTACTGCTGAAGAAGTCACTAATCCCCAGAGATTACAGTCAATATATATATATATATATATATATATATATATCAACACGATTACGGAAATTTGATATGTGGGTATTTCAAGATGAGAGGTATAGTTAACTGGATTTAAACATTATATAAAAAAAAGAAGAAATTGACACAAAAAGTCACTTTATTTTAAACAAAATTAGTTTTTATCTATCTTCTTTTAAAAAAAGAAATATATATTTATTTTTTTAAATGCAATATATATATATATATTCTTTTTTTAAAAGAAGATAGATAAAAACTCATATTTTGTTTAAAATAAAGTGACTTTTTGTGTCAATTTTTTCAACAATCTTTTAACGGGGTGCTACTGGAGTAGATCATGGAATCCTCCTACCATTGAACTGAAGTGTCCTTTGTCACAAGCACGGGCGACGTTGTACACATACTGCCTACAGGAGCTCAGCCTGGTGTACATGTCAGCCATCTTGCCTTGCATCAGCTAGAAAATGATAAATAAGCATAATGTTCATTTTTCACAATTCAAATCACATTTTGCTGAATTTAACGAAGGAAATTTACATTGACGTTTTAAACTCTGCTTCCTTGCATAAAGTTAAAAAAAAAAAAAAAAAGGTCACACCTGAAAGTGTCCGATTTTCTGTCCGAAAGCTTCTCTGACGTGCAGGTAGGGAACAGCGTTGTCCAAAACTGACTGCATGATGCTGAAAAGTAATGATATAAAGATTGCTGAACAATTCAAACTCGTCTCATAATATAAAAATCAAGCACTCCCAACAGGCGTGGTGAGTTATGATTATATCACAGCCGGATACCAAGTGCAGTAAGTTTTTGGTTTTATAAAAACAGTCTTGATGCATGAAAAAAATGAAACATCAATAAATAATGATATTCTGAATAAAATAGGCCCTCCTGCGCCGCCTGCCTGCACATACCAAGGTTGCTATGGAACGGCAGGCACGTAGCCCTGCAGCTAGCATATTTATTCATCGCAGCCTAACGTTATATATCGGCTTAATTGGCTGGTGATCTATTTAAATGGCTTGCATATCGGACCGTTTGTTGTGAAAGCTCTGAGGAGTTTTCACACTTGTGACCTTTCTTTCTTTAACGTAGCGCTGCATGACGTTAAGAAGACGGATTTCTTGTGTATTGTTTCAATGACTTGTTTTTGCAGATAATAATTCACTAACATATCCAAGTAACTTCCTGTTTTTGATCAGCTCATCTCTGACATGAACTCACCCGATGGGTCCGGCTGCAAGCACCAGCCTCTCCAGATCCAAGCCGCTCATCATCACGTAAACACCTTTGTTCAACGGGCCGAGGACGTTCTTCTCTACAAAAGAACATCCCAAACAAGATGAGCCAATGAAATGAATATGCATCTAGCGATTGTCCTGTTTTACACAAGGGGACACTGTTTTAAACACTAACCTGGGATTTTGCAGTCTTCAAAGATCAGCTCGCAGGTGTTTGAACCCCTCATACCAAGTTTATCGAGCTTCTGTGCCGTAGAGAATCCCGGCATTCCCTAAAAATGTATGTTAACAAGCTTTGTTTCATTTCTGTGATCCATGTCCGTGTACACACTCTTTTATAATATTAATTTGATAGAATGCGAGGCTTCTCCCCAAAAACACCGACCAGACACAAGAGTACGTCTTCAGTTGAATAAATTTACCTTTTCAACAATGAAAGCTGTGATGCCCTTTTGATGGGCCTCAGGATTTGTCTTTGCGTAAACAATAAGGACATCGGCATCCGGCCCATTTGTGATCCAGAACTTGTTGCCATTCAGAACATAGTAGTCGCCTGTAGAAAAGTACAAATAAAAATGAAGTTGAACTAAAACAGATTTTTAATGCAGAATTAAGATTGTAAACATGCACACATATATGCATGCATAACAAAAATAAGTAACTGTTATGTCAGTAACAGCAGTGTCTTAAAATGTGTTTGTTTGGCTGTGATTGGTGTGCGAGCGAGTGCTCTCTCTTTTGAGGATCTTTGTTTTAGCTGCCTGTCTCCAGCTCCATCACCTCCTGCATTTTAAAATGCTTGAGTTTTGCTGTGAGGACAGAGTATTGAGGCCGGGGACCATAGACGGACTGCATAACCAGCCCCTTTGGGCAGTTGTTTGGTCTTTGTTACATTGTTTATGTTTTAAGTATTGAATGCATTTTCCTCAACTGCAATTTGCTATTTGCAACTTTGGCTTGAGGGCTGAAAAGTGAATGTGATTTACAACGTTTGTGTTAAATGGGGGCTTAAAAAGCACATATTTGAAAGATTAAATGCCCCTCTAAAGATTACTTTCACCGTACACAGACACTACACAGGTTTATAACCCTAGGAAATAAGGGCTCCAAAAATAGACAACAAGCAAGTGTGTATGAAATCTTACAGTAAAAAAAAACCAGTTTGCTTCACAGGAATAAATATCTGGAAGGGATGATTCAGAGTAAAAAGGGTAGGGTGACAGTAGGGTTTCCTACCTTGCTTCTTGGCTTTGAGTTTCATGGACACGACATCAGAGCCGGCATTGGGTTCACTCATGGCCAGAGCTCCTACGTGCTCCCCGGTCATTAACTGGAACACAGAGGAACCCGTGATGAGAGTGAATGATTGAAAACCGCCTTAGTTTGCGGTGTTTCGTAACGTTAAACACGAGCTCTGCTGGTCCTGACCTTGGGCATGTACTTCTCTTTCTGCTTCTCGTTGCCGTGGCGAACCATCTGGTTGACGCAGAGGTTGGAGTGGGCGCCGTAACTGAGAGCGATGGCCGCAGACACTCTGGACATTTCCTCCATTACGATGACATGATCGAGGTAGCCCAATCCTGTGCCCCCGTACTCCTCTAATAGAAAAAGAATAAAATAAGAGCTGAGTGCCATTTTTAAAAACACTACAAAAAGGAAAAAAGCAGTTTTCCTGGATGTTGTTGCAAGGATACTACTTCGAAACATGAGTGTTTTTCATCCAGACATGTTACCTGGAGCAGTGATCCCAAGAAGTCCCATCTCACCCATGTCTCTCCAAAACTCCTGTTGGAGCGGCAACGCAAGAACGTTTACCGAGGCAGGAATCTCACTCAATTCATACACGCGATCGGGACACCAATTCTCCGATCTATCAAAACGCGCCATCAAGAAACTACAAGGGCTCAACTCACCCGCATTCCTGGAAATTCATTGGTCCTGTCGATCTCGTCGGCACACGGTGCGAGCTTTTCTGCACAGAATTTACGAACCGACTGCCTGAGCTGTGCAGAAGAAAGAAAAAAAAATACGAAAACGAACGACCGATTTGAAACAACTCATTCACACGTATGTCATGGGTTAGTATGAGGAATGAAGAAACACGCAGACTTCAGTTCTCATGTTCCTCCTTCAGGTGACTGGATGACAAAGTGGGAGATTGATTCAATCTTTAGTAAAGTGTGCCGTTTAAAGGTACGGAGGAACGTGCCAAGATTCTTCCCCCAGAGGCTTAAACCTGGTCAATTACTGTAAAATAAACACTTAAACATAATACCAAGAAAATGGATGAGAAGACAGCCACGTTCAACCAATGAGATGCTCTACAGGGACCCGCCCCCCTGCCATCCTCCTGGCGCCCTTGGGTGCGAAGTACTCGGGATACACAGTAACATTATGTTGATGTGTTTAATTTCCACTGGAGAACACGTGTCAATATCCTTTAACCCGCCTACTAACTTTCCATTGAGATGACTAGTAAATTAACGTTGGCTGGTTGCGTCACAGCTAGCGGGGGCTTGAAGTGGTGCGTCTATGGGGCATTAAAACGAGAGGTGTTAAGCGCCACTTGCTTTAGTTATTAAAATAAGAGCAAAGTAAATGAATGTTACATTGACATTAGCTATCTGTGTAGTGCTAACTCCGTTAGCTACGTGGTTAGCTTAGCCCCGGGTCGGCTAACACCAAGGTCTCCTTACCCTGTTAGCTAACGTGACGTTTTGACGTCACGTCCGCGCCGTGCTTGAATAACCTTTTGTCCGTCATAACTTCTGAAACCACAACGTACCCTAAAATCACACCGAGATTGTCACTTTTTTATGTGTAGCACTGTATCCAGTGTATTCGCGCTGCTTGTTAGCTAACCTGGATCTGGTCCTCGGTGAGTCCGTTCACGACATCGTCCACCGGGATGGAAGCACCGGCGCATCCTCTCCTCGACGCCGCCTGGACGGACAACCTGCGGCCGAGGCGGAGAGCGTTTCTGACGGCATACATAATGTTCCTTATAGCCGGGACGTTTTTATCAGGGGACAAAATAACCAAAAGTTGACACCGACGTCACTCGGACCCATAAGAGATATGGCTCTTAGCGCAGGCGAAGTGAGAGGTCTCACTCTGCTACTTTTTACGTGTACCAAACATTTCATTTTTTATTTCTTTGCTCTTGTTTCAAACCATTTTCTTGACTCATTAACACCCCCTATTGGACGGGGGTTTAAATATTACTTCAACAAAGATAATGAATGAATTAGGTTTAGTTGCTCAGATTTTGCTGCTAATAATAGTTAGCAAATATATTTAAAACGTGTTGTTGAAGACAACAATGGCGTATTTGACAACCTTTAATAGGTGGAATCAATGTATGCATTGTAATTAATGAGGGGGGAAAAGATGTAATGCCAATGGATAATGAATGCCGCTGTTTGCTAATAAAGTGACCTTCCATTTGTGCCATTCAGCTACAATGACAATTTTAGCAATAGGCAATGCCACGCTGGAGGCCTCAAAACCCCTGTGCCCCAAAATGAATAAATTTGTATCTTAATTATGTTGCTGTTATATATTACATCTGGGGCCAGGAAGTATTACAGCATAAAAAACATTGGAACAACTGTTGTGGGAATTACAAAGCAGCTTAATGCGGTTAGGGATACACAGAAAGTAACACAGTTATTAAAAAACATTTGTAAAAATAAACGGCAATGAAAAGGCAGCTGGATACATTTTTCAATTTAATAAAATGAAATCAGAGTTGTCCAAGTTAATGGCCCTGAACCCCATCACAGCTTCCCCCAAAACTTACATAAAGTTCACAAATTCACATCCCTCGGTATTATTTAAGAGAAATACAAGTTGCAACAAATGCAACAAAAGAGATATAAATATATATATAAAAAACTATAAATCAAAGTCAGGCTACACCAGCAGCGTTTTGAATATTTATTGTGGAGTTTTGGTCACAGTCCGCCCTCTAGTGGTTAATTATGGGGCGGCAGGATTGTTCAGTAATCAGTTAACGTAAAAGTAACTCACATCATCAGCCAAACATTCAAAGCTCGTTTAACATAATTAAAAATGATTACAACCGATTTTATATGCTTTTTAAAAATACAAATATAATATTGGATGTTCAAAGTGTGCACATCAGCAGTTAGTTTATTTAGAGACAAACAAATACTTAAATAAATAAAAGCCGTCCACATAACACCAATACCACAATTACTGTTTAAAAAAAACACGGTTTCAAGGCAACGAACGTATGTTTACGCGCTTCTTTTTGGTAGAAACATGCTGTCGCATTTACTAAAACCAAATATTCGTTTCGTAATAAATCTGAAAAGTCCCTATTCAGTTTGATTTCAGGTTAGTATCGTCGATCGCGATACAGAAGAAAGTCACTAACTGCAAAAATGAACCCGTCAGCTGGTTTGAGTAGTCAGGAAGCGAGCGAGGCACTGCGGAAGATAATGCGCTTTGCACACTAGTGTGGGTGCGCCGTGGAGAGGGGTTCCCCTTTCGAGCTCGCAGTTTAACAAAAGCGTTTTGTTGACTCAGAAGTCAAACAAAACGACGACGGAGTCCCACTGAGGATCATTTGAACATCTGGACGTGGGACTGACCAGATTTGAAGCTTAAAGTGAATCGTTTTTTTTGCAGATTTTAAGTCTCCAATGCGCAAAGAGTGCCAGAGCACGCGCTCCAAGGACCTGGGCTTTTCTGGAACTGGAACCAATGATCTCACACCGGCGATGAACTCGCTCACGAAGCCGCTCGAACCGTCACGTCGTCCGCAACCGGAGCGCCTGCGACTGTGATGGATGCGCCCCGGGTACCGCAGGTCACCATCACCCCGGAGGGTGGCGGATCACCCCGGGAGATGCGGCAAGAGGACTGGGACGACGCGGCGGAGGGCACCCTGCGCCGGAAACTGTCCAACTCCTCCATGTCCTCCACCGGGTCCTCCGCCGTGGAGTCCGAGGACGATGTACTCAGCGACAACGAGAGCAAAAGCGAGGGCATCATCACTCTGGAGCACCTGGTGGACAGCGGAGAGGTGAGGAGACGATCGAGACACGCGCGTCGCCGCCAGGTCCCCCGGTAAATCATGTCACTGTTATTATGTCCCAGTCACAGCGCGTAAAAGCCTCAACTGCCTGTTGTCCTCTCGTATAACTCGCCGTTACGACTGAACTATGGCACGTGTCAATACGCATGAGAGAAAACCCCCCAAGAAAATCACACATTTCAAGAATCCGAGGTCTGAAATGACGCACAGGCAAAACAATGGACGGAATATATTGTGCATGTAGGTTTGAGGGAGACCGATGCGCATTGATGGCATGTGAAGAAACTCCCAGTCTTTCATTAAATGTAGTAAATGTTCAAGAGAATCCGTCCTCTGCAACACGACTGGACGTTTTATAACGACAGAGTCATTTAAAATCTCCATCTTTGTCTTCATATGCCTCTTCTTTTATCTGCATCCTCGTAATAACAAGATACACAGAAAAGAAAAAATAGTGAGCAGCAAATAAACAACAGTCAGCAAACGTCTTCCTCATAGAGGATTAGTGTCTCCAAGATCAGATTACAGTTATTATTGCAGTTATTATTTCTTCAGAGTTCCTTTTAAGCCTCCTAATCAAATAAGGGAACTCTGAAGCAAAAACGTTTTCTGTGGGAAATGAGTCACTTCTACATTTCACAAGTTATTTTCGCGTGTGCTCTCTTGAGATTTGGAAAATGTCAGTTGTATGATGAATTGTTCAGCGTCACGCTGCTTTCCTCTCGTCGCTGAAGATGATGCACAAAGTAAGAATAAACATCCTCGAGATCTCTGCCAGAGATTAAAAGACGCCCATTGAGATCTCATTATCATGTTCAACGGCTCATCAGAGTCCCCCCGGCGTCCCCTTAACGGTCTCGGACGCTGCGTGAACTCAAACCGCCGCCGAGGGGAAAGCTCGGTGACCTTTGCCGAGTAAAAGGCCATCCGGGTGCGATTCGAGTTCGTGATACAGAAACAAAGCGCTCGTCATATCCATAATAGGACCGGCACTGTTTGCGAGCCTATTACCGCTGATGGGTCTTTGCACATGTTGCACTGATGTGCGTCCCTCCTTCAGCACACAGGCGAGTGTTGACGGGTTCCGCCCTCGGCTCTGCCGAGGGTTGGAATTCTGTTTGACATTCTTGGCAGGTGAAGCTTTTCCCCTTCGGCCAACAAGTCTCAGTCTGACTGAACCTGCTTGCGTGTGCAGCTTCCACTTGATAGTCATCTCAACGACATTCTCTTTTGTCTGTGCCGTCATTAGGCTCAGACTGCATTGTGGCGTCTGTGTGTGGGTGTGGGTGTGTGTGTGTGTGGGTGTGCGTTTTTTAATGGTGCCAGCCGCTTCTCTTAGCCGTGTCCATACAAGGTCTGTGGCTGTCATTTTTATTTTAAACAGACTGAACGCTAAATACACATTGCCTGGGAAGCCTCTGCGTCCGTGCGAGAGGGAAAGAAATGTGAGTGATCGATCAAGTGAGGCCCCGGGTGTGAAGGCTTTCCAAAATAAAAGTCACCTCCAACTCTTCACTCTCTCTCTCAGGTGTCATAACAAGTGAAAAATGCGTCAAACTCAAAGGTGTCAAGATGGCCACTCTTATGTTTCTGCCCTTTCGGGCCCACACATCAGCCCACACATCCTCCCGTGTGCGCACACAGACACACAGGCGCACAGTGCAGCAGACGCTAACATGTCATTGGGTAGTAAGGATTTTCTGTGGTCAGCAGCCAGTTTGAGCCTTGACATTTAACAAAGAACCACTTCAGGAAGTCAAAAACTCTCGTGTAGCAAGTGCTGCTGCGGGTTCCTGCTTGTTTAACAGTGCTTTTTTTTTAAACATAGGAGACGTGGACAAAAGGCCCATCTCCGCACAACAGGAGTCATTAGATCATCCCACAGTGGTTTGAATCCCATTAGCACTTGACACCATGACGATGGCGGAGTCAGTCACGTCGCCTCGGCGGTCGTTCTCCTCGCCGCTCCAATAGGAACTCTAGGAAACCGGTGAAATTTGCTTTCTGTGTCTGCAGCGTTGCTAATGACTACGCTGGCTGTTCAGATCAACACGGTGTTGCTCTCAGTTTGTCACCCACCCACACACACACACACACACACACACACACACACACACACACACACACACACACACACACACCCAGCAGGCCGGTGTTACAGAGAAAAGGAGCATCCACCCGACGGAGCAGCGAGTGTTGAGGAAACCCTTCAGCCACGAGGCGAACGGAAGAGCAACAGGTCCCCTCTCATTTGTGGGTGTAAATTAAACGCTTGTAATAATTAACGGTGAGAAATAGTCAAGGTCAGTACTCAAATGACCAGTTCTGAGGTATGTGTACTTTTAGTAGAATGTTTCTGCCGCTCTTTTGCTGCACTGCATTTCAAGCAAATATTGTACCATTCAGTACACAAGAAGAGGAAACCCCACGACAGTCTTACATAACGAGCTTAAACCAGTCTTTCCTGCCCATTGGGACTTGTGATGCCGTAGCAGGAAGATAGCTGAAGATGACAGATGTCAAACTGTCTAATAATCTACTACGTGCCTAAATACCTTTGATTCTCTCTGCTTTTAACAGTAAGAATTCAAGTTGTAACTTGAGTGTGAAAACAGTAACAGTGTTATGAGCACAAAGTCTTGTGGTTTCTACCATCTAGGTTGGCTGGGAACGCTTAGTGTGAATAACATGACGTTTCAATGTCAGACTGTGGGTAAAATATAAATATTTGCCGTGGAGCTGCAGGGCCGTGACGATTACGCGAAAACAGAGTTCAGAGCCAAGTTTCCGTCCACCACACGTTGTGCTGAGTGTGACTGTACGACAAGTAAACAGGATCCCATTTGAGAATTTAAGTAAGTCGCTGTACAAGAGTCCAATACTCGCAGCAATAAAACAAAGGCTTGGGCGTGGGAGCTGCAACACCTTCGCAACGCGATATTATGAGTAAACAAGTGGCATTAGAGTAAGCGACGCATATCACCTGACATCTAACAGAGACCTGGCTGGCTGCTGCAGAGCTTTGTGTTTCACGAATAAAAATGACCTCTGCAAAAGGATCGAAGCACATCTTCTTCTTTCCCTGTCTGGGCCCTGGGAGTTTGTTCATCGGGTGTATTTTCCTTATTATTATTTTTTAGGTGATTGGAGATTCCAGAAATACAATCCTCAGTGTTAAAGCAAATGTTATTTGCGATATGTATTACAAATAACATATTTGAGATATGGTCCGTTTTCTGGGAGGGAATAAAACAGACAGTGTGAAGAACTACTGCGTCTCTGTGAAATATGCAAGCTGTGGCTGCGTTTTTCTGTGTGTGTGCGTTCTGAGAGAGAAAGATGGAGAAAGCAAAGGTGTCATGAGAAGAGTCCTTAAATGAATTATGGAAAACTGAACACCTCTGCCAAGACAACACAATCCGCTGTCAGTCATCTCTTCTGTCTGTTATTCATTCAGTGTTTCACTTTGATTGGCACCAAACTGTCATATGACACCAAAGAAATTCTGCCTTTGCTAATAACGGAGTGGGAGTTAAGAGGCCGGCGGCGAGGGCCATGTCACCCTTCATCATTTAATATATGGTAATTAGACAAATGATTTGGCTGGTTTGTTCGGTGTGACATTCTGAATCCTGCCTGAATATATTAGCCGTGTAACTGGGAAAGGTCTTTAGCTATGAACTGATGTTAGTCAGTGGATTTTTCTCTGTCAATCAAAGCCTTTCACCACACTTAGCTCGAGATGCTGAATAGAGATGTTTGAGTACAGATTAAGAGTTTCCACAGAAATGGCATTTAAAGGACACGGGCCAGAGGTTTCACGCAGTGGAAACGGAAACGCCTGGCATCAGATGTACCGGCTGGAAATGCTTGTTTATTCAGATTCCTGTCCAGATATAAGCCGCACTACAGTCGGCACCTCTTCCTCTCCGCGAATCACTTCGGGGCGAACAACGTCACACTGATACACCCCAAAAAAACGTTTCCATTGATTGACTCACCTGCGCCTGTTGTCCCGTCTTTCTCCAGAGCAAGGCGTGGTGGAAGCTGAAGGCCATCGTCCACTGGCCCTTCAGCGTCGTGCAGAGGAGAAAACTGAGCTGGGTTCAGCTCGCCGGCCATAAAGGTGCGATCTGACGAAAGGTTGCTGACGTTATGACTCGCCTCACGTATCTTTTAGTCATTTCCCTCGTCCTTCCTTTTTGTGAATGTCGGTAATACAAAGCGTCGGCCTTCTTCCCATCTCAGGTAACTTCAAGGCGGCAGACGAGGGCAACATCCTGAAGAGGTTTTCGGAAAACGAGATGCAGTGTTTTGAAAAGCTGAAGGACGATGCGCTGCTCCCCTTTGTGCCTGGTTACCATGGCACCGTGGAAAAAGATGGAGAGTCTTTCCTTCACATGACCGATCTGCTGGTGAACTTTGACCTTCCCAGCGTCATGGACTGCAAGATGGGAGTGAGGTAAGGAAGTAAGCTGTTCATTAATTAATTACATATAATAGATATTTAAACATTGATTTAAAATGATAACCTATTTTTTACTTCCCTGCATGTTTCTGTCAAACAGGCTGTATGGTTGGTCAAAATGATGATTTCTTATAATTTTATAGTTTATTCATGAATTTAATATTTAGCTTTGATACGCACAATAGACATGAATTCAATATTTATGTAAATGTTTAATTGTTGTTTTTTGTCACAGTACGTGACACCGTCAGCGTTGCGTCGCTTCACAAGGGAACACCTGTTGTAACTACAGGCCGTGTGCTTGGCTTCCTGCCCCAACGGGCAGGGTGCCTCGCTGTATTATGTGCGCTGGCAGAAAAACGCACACACACACACACACACACACACACACACACACACACACACACACACACACACACACACACAGAAACACACACGTACTGGGAAAGAATGAACGCATGTGAATGTATGCATGCAGAAGCTCGTGCAGACACAAGTAAGCAGCTCTCCAAACTGCTCGACAAACAGACTCACACATTACAATATAAACTGTTATTGTCTAGAAAGGATGTGTGTCTGTTTTTCTGAAGCTACACACACACACACACACACACACACATATGCAGGGTGTCCCTGGAGACTCCCCTTCATCAAAAACACTCACAACCACAAAGTTGCAAACCACTGAGTTGCACAAACACACTCAGACTTTCAGAGTGAAGAGCTGCACGCTGCCGTCTACTCTCAGCTTCCCTCTTCAGCACAGAGGAAGTGAAGCTCACAAACTGAAACTGATATCTGTTTGCACATCATTCTATAGTATGAATACGACAAGTGCGCGTGTGATGTTGTACTTTTTAACCTGCAGACCTTTATACCTTTGGAGTATGTCATGCACTCTTTTCTGCAATACTATTAGGGAATGGAAAATATTTGTAAGTCAACTACTGGCACCTGAAAGTGAACTATCCACTTACATGCAGTTAACCTCAAAATATGCAGCTCCTGCTTCTCAAGGCCTCCTTCCTCCCGCTGTTTCAGAACGTACTTGGAGGAGGAGCTGGTTCGGGCGAGGGAGCGACCCAAGCCGAGGGAGGACCTGTACAAGAAGATGGTGGAGGTGGACGGCGACGGCCCGACGGCCCAGGAGCATTCCCAACGGGGTGTCACCAAGCCCCGCTACATGCAGTGGAGGGAGAGCATGAGCTCCACCAACACCCTGGGCTTCAGGATAGAAGGAATCAAGGTGGAGTGACATGGACGCTGTTCATTATCTCAAACACTTATTCAGTTGAGAACAACTTAAAAAGCACCGACACAGAAGCATTTATCCAAAGGAGAGTGAATATTTTACCCAGGTGACCTGCGGTGCATTGATAGGCAGCTGTCTGCCAAAACATTCTCAATCTCATCTTAATCGGGTGATGTTTGTTCCTCTGCCCTGTCTTTTAGAAATGTGACGGCACGTGTCGGACCGACTTCAAAAGAACCAGGTCGAGGCAGGATGTCATCCAGGTGTTCAAGGACTTTGTCGGAGGGAACGTCAACATAATAGTACGTGACACTCCGTTTGCTTGTGCACACACATGCGCTGTGTGCTCATGCATGCAAGGACATTCACAAACGTGCTTCATTCTCTGTATTTTCTTTGGGACCGTAAGATGATGAATGCAAACAGCCTCAAAGTATGTAGGAAATATTTAATGAAATTGATGTTGTTGGAGATTTCTGTTGTGACGTACACTGCGTCTGCAGCCTTTAATCTAACAACTGTAGCTTCTATTTTATGGATTCAGATGAACATTTTTCATGGGCTTCAAGTGATGTTTCGATGATTCGCAGAAGTCCTACGTGAGCAGACTGACGGAGATCCAGCAGGCCATGAGGACATCGCAGTTCTTCAGGCAACACGAGGTAATAATCAAATGTAAAGCAACTTAACGTGTTGCAGCAGGAACTCTGTCTCACACCCTAAACACCATTTCTCAAAAGCACGTTTCAGACTTGATGACGTTACGGAGAGCACTGTCTTAACACGTTAACTCATCGCTGGTCTCGTCGTTATCAAATCGTAATGCATGCATCAATGGATATTCATGGTGGAAAAGCAAAAGCTAACGTGCAACCACTGTTGTTCTCCTTGGCAGGTCATTGGCAGCTCCCTCCTCTTCATCCACGACCACACCGGCAATGCTCAGGTCTGGATCATTGACTTTGGGAAAACAACGGCGTTGCCACAGGGCCAGACGTTAAAACATGACATTGCCTGGCAGGAGGGCAACCGGGAGGACGGCTACCTGTGGGGGCTGGAAAACCTCATCCGCACTCTGGAGTCTGTAGGCAATCAAGGGACAGGCGGAGAGACATTTCGCTCGGTCACTAAAGGAAATAAACAAACTACAGAAACAGAAGGTCAGTGACCTTTCATCTGTAGATGGGTGAGAGGAAGTCAAACCACATTTGAATGGACACCGCACAAAGACCTTTAATAAATGGACAGGAGCTGTGGGTGCTGGATGATGAATGTTGAACATGTGCAGGGGGGCTACAAATAGCCCGCAGCTCTAACGAAGCCACTGACAGAAAAGACATTGAAGAAGGGTTTTTTAGCGTGCGACTGACACTAATTCAACTTCCTACAAAATGAACAGAAGTGAAAGTGTTTTAGGGGGCAGGATGTTACATGTGAAAGAGGCTACATGTGAGAAATGCTCCTGAAATATGATTAAAAGCAAGGGGAGAGTACTCCATCCTCTTTATTATAATCTCTGAGCTCTGACAATACATCTGTAGGTGTAATCATTCGGGAGTAATTCAGTGCAGCATGATGCTGAAAGACCTCACAGTCAGATAACTACAACACATAACATATTGTAAATATAGCACTGCATACTGTATCATTATTAGAGTGTGTTATCTTTGTCTCGGTTCTGACAATCTCTTTTATCGTATATCAATTCATATTTCTTGTCAGTGATTTTATTACTGTAATCAAACTGTATAGCACTATTTTGGAGCTGTGGAAACGCCCTGATTAAAAATGGGAAAATGTTTTTTATTTTTGTTTTCAACATAACACATTTGTGGTAGTTTTATATGTACGCTAGCCCGAGCTAAATTCACTCCGCACAACTGATCAAACTCACACAAAGAAAATCAATACATATTGATTTATTTGGGGCACAATTAGGTTAGAGGAAAGGGTAAAAGACGGTATATTGCATAGAATGTCTTGGCATTTTTGGTTGACTCGTTAACACCATCAACAACATTACAGAATACATGAACAGGTTAAGTTAGTGTGAAATACAACGTACCAGACTATAAAAGATTGTACACTAGGAGCAAGACATTTTTCCTTCTCTGTAAAATAAACCCCACAGACAAATCTCCCAATAAAAATGAGTCTCTGGAAAATAATGTGAGCCTTTCACAGCACTCACTAATAATATGAGCCAAACGGATGTGTGACTATTCAGACAACATACAGCAAAACAAATCGTTTAGGCTCAAAAGACATGTGTGGTATACAACTACCAGGATTGATTAAATAAGAAATAATAAAAAGTAATCATACTGAATAGAGGTTTTAACCCTGGAACATTTGATTAATTGAATGAAGTGAGATACCTGCAGCAGCATGTTTGGTAGATCCACGGCTCAATAGCTCCCCCTGCTGAGTAAACATCGGTACTACGAGCACAGCACCATCGGATGCAGTGCAGCGGTGTTCAATGGCAGTGATCGACTACAAATACATAAATATAAATGAATAATAAATGAAAAAATAGCTACAAATGCAGCAGGTTAGTGCAGCGTACGAAAGAGAGTACAAAATTAGCAAATATTTTCACAGCTGCGTGGTCATCTAATACTACACGGCAATACTATTATGAGACATCCTTCAGGACAAGGACATATTTGGACATGGGGAAAGAGATGAGTCAAAAATATGCAATGCCAACTAAAAATATATGGAGTTTGGCAAAATTAGTCTCAGTCCAGAAGATACAGGAAGGGATTTTCAGGACTCGACGCTTACCAGTGAGCAAGGGGACTGTTTTTTGGGAAAAATGCTTACTTGTTTTTGTTTTAGTCAAATCAAATCACTTTGCACTGTTAGTGTGCATCTATAGCCAGGAGGCAGTTCCCATTAGATCAGCACAAAGACGGCAAGTCCGGCTCGGTTGAGAGGATATTATATTTGCATCCTCTAAATTCCAGCAACAAACACATTATATGTTCTTTATTTTAACCCCCACGCAAACAGAATGTAAAGTGGGTGTAAAGTGTGAAATATCTGACTCTCCTGACTGTCTGTGAAACCAAAACCAGCATCCTCAGCAGGAGGAAGGTTCACATTTGACAACCTGAACTAAATCACTGTTTAGGATGTTCTTGTGTGCACAACTACCACTGACATACACACACCAGTCTCTACGAACTACAGAGAAAACCCCATTAGCTGAGGACATGCCGGAAACAAGAAGTAGACCTTCCGTTGAAGGAAAAGATCAGAGACGTGTTATTGCTGTATAGCTGACATCACTGAATTTCCATCCTTTGAAATCAAAATAAATAAGCAAAAGAACAGTGATTCGCTTCTCAACGGCTCAACATTTTCTGTGTGTATATTCCTACTGTACACAAATTACTACAAATACCAGCTAAACGTTTGCTATAATGCAACATATACTACTTTTAAAGCCTTCATGGAAATAAACAACAACAAATAGGTAGAAAAGGAGTCAAACTACAGCAGAACTTTTCTGTTGATGTGGACATGACCCATCACAGGGCTGCATGTGTACCAGTGGGACAGAGGCCTCTTTGTATCGCAGTACAGAGTAGCTCCAATAACTTGATGCTGTGGCTCTAGAACGAAAACCTCACGGTGATGCGGTTTGTTCCTCCAGGTTGTGACATTTCATTCACGCGTCACTCAGAACCCCTGTTACAGTAAGCCCCTTCTCAGACGGGGTTAACGCTGAGGTCTTCGGACAGAGAAAAGCCGGAGTCTCGGTCCCGCGCGGGTTTCTCGGCCTTGGCGTGTCGCCTCACGTCCTCGTGCCCGTAGCTGGCGTGGCGCTTCAGCAGCAGCTTGGGCACACAAGAGGAGGCGGCGTGAGGCCAAACGCCAGTCCCAGGGCCGCTCCCCGCGGAGGCCACGGGGGCAAAGCTGCTGTTTTTGACGGGCCTCTGGGGTTTTGGGAAGGACCAAGGTAAGCGCTTTCGGCCTCGTAGCTCTGCTCGTCGTAGGCGTAGTTGACGTTGCCACAGGGGAAACTCTGGAGCTTAGCCAGGTCCGTACCGGCTCTGACGGGCCCACTTGTCGGGGTCTTATGGGAGGACGTGCTCGGGGGCGTTTTAGTCGGGCCGGACGGGGACGAGGTAGAGGAAGTGCAGAGGCCGGGCGGCGGCGGGTGGGCGCTGTTGCACTCAGCCTCGTTGTGTTCACAGTTTGCGTTGCAGGTGTGAGGGGCCTGTGTGTTGGGGGCGGTGGTGGCGGAGCTCGAGAGCGGCATGGACTGAGTGTGAGCCAGCGTTTTCTTCCCCCGGAAGCTTTCCAAAACCCAGGAGCCGTATGTGGGGTTCCACAGGTTCTTTGTCTTGTTCTTCAGCCTCTGGCTCCCCGAAGAGGAGCTGTTTCTGGAGCACGGCTGGTGCCCGGAAGGCTCCGGGTGGAGCCAGTGGCCTCCCGCCGGCAAACCGGGGGCCGGCACGGGCTCCGCCCAGCACGGCTGCAAAGCCTCGCGGCACGATGTCACTTCTTGGTGGACGGGTTGGGTCCTCTGGAGGAGCACACGCGGTTTGGTAGGCTGTGGGGGAAGCGGTGTTGGGCCGAGGCCCAGAGAGGAGACACCCAGCTGGGAGGGGAAAGCCTGGGACACAGGATGGGACACCAAGAGGGGAGTGAGGCTGGCGAGGTCAGAGGGGAGGATTGTTGGGCCTCCTTTGTCGTCTGCAGCGGGGGCGTATTCAACGGGCAGAGGTGTGTTGATCACATCCGGGTCCTGAAGCAGAGCAATGAAGAGGAAAAGGTTTTTTTTTTAATTGTTTTTATTCAACAACATTCGCGATGACAATTAATTTTGGATAAAGAACATACCTGAGAGCAGTAGTCAATTCTCTCCAGGATGGTAGAGAAGTTGGGCCGGTGCTCGGGACAGTGTTGCCAACACTGGGTCATGATCCGATAGCTAGAGCCATAAAAACAGACACATTTCAGATACATTGTTTAAGCTGAACCATGAGATTACCAAAGCAAAGAAAACAAAGAAAACCACAGAATTCAAATAAATTACATATTAAAACGTTGCATACAAAGCCAAATCTTCCATTTCTTTTGGCTATCCCTGAAATCATCTGGTTCGACCCTGCAGTTATTTCGATGTGTTCCCTGTAAGTACTCACACAGGCCCGGGACAGCTCTTGGGAGGATCCATTCTGCCTCCGCTGGTGACAAACTCCAGCACCTCTTGGTTGGTTTTACAAGGATACGGCATGAATCCCAGCGAGAGGATTTCCCACAGCAACACCCCAAAAGACCTGCAGGGGGAGAGAAAGATCAACCACTGAGTTGAACTGACTGAGAGCACCAGAATCAATCTGTTATAACAGAGGCAGATAACATTTATTTGAAAATGCTAATTATCAGTTCACAGTTTTTGGTAACGGGAGTAAAAGCCGGTCTTTCTTTTTCTTTTCTCCCAGAATTCTCTGTGGTCTAATTGTATCCACCACCATCCATCTGTCACTTTTATAGACATCTTGCCGTAAAAGACTAAGCGCATTTATCAAGGTCAGATGTCTCTGAGCCTGTAAACAAACATTTCCTCTGGTCTTCAAAAGTTCAATTGTGACATTATTTGGCCCACGCCTAATATTCAACTTCTTATGCCATAGTAAAGTGCTTTGATCCTCACTGTGTTCTTACTCCAGTTGGCTGTGTGTCTTAAATACAGATTATATTGCTGTCTAATTAACTTGACAGGGGGGGTGTTTTGTTTAGGAGCAGAATTACTTCAGTCTCCAGCTGCGCTGGAATATTAACCAGAGCAATTTGGATTTGACATCAGCGGGAATGAGAAATTTCTTTTAAACCACAACATCTGTTGTAGTTGTTAATTAAAACCTGATGTTCAGCATTTTTGACAGCCCTAAATATCTCTGGAACTCTTTAATGAGAGGTCTCAAATGGGGTTGAAAGAAAAGGAGCCATTGAAAACCTCCTTGCGGATACTTACTACTGTGCACATCATACTCATACCATGTATCCGTCTTGCATGTGAAGACTCCCTCCATGAAGGCCTCCGGTGGCATCCATTTGACCGGCAGCATGGCGCGGCCACCTTTCCTGTAATAGCTGGCTCTGAGAAACAAAAGGAGAATCGCATTTAGGAACGTGCATTTATCATCAGTCTAGAGGGGAGTCTCAATAACTCAATGCAATGAAATCTGTTTTTGGTTTGCTACGCGTGCTGCCATGCAGTGCGCTGTTGATGCCGGTTCAGTGTACAAACCTGTAAATGTCTCGTGCCATACCAAAATCGCCAATTTTGGCCACTCTGTCTGGTCCAGGGCAGGTAAGCAGGCAATTTCTAGCAGCAATGTCTCTGAAAAAAATCACAGGATCCGTTAGTTAATGTATCTTAATGATGGCACTTAACTCCCTCATCCAATATACTGCAGGATTACATTATTTAAAAAAGAAGGATGAATATGAAGATATAAACCGTATATATAAACCGGGTATAAACCGTAGTAATGTAGTTTATGGTGAACCAGGTCCACTTGTGACAAACGAGGAACAGCTCACACAATCTATCTAATGTATCTGTAAGCAATAGTCCGTGCAGGTCAACACTCAGTGGACTTTATATTTGAGGAAGTGTGACACTATTTCTCACCCATCCCACCCAATGTTAACTTGTGGCATTTAAAAAAAATGGTTAATACATAATATATGTATATATGTATGTCATCAAGAAATAGTTAGCACAATGTTAAAATATCCCTTTCTCGTGTTTTTATGCTATAAAAGGGTCATTCCAAAACACTCTTTTTGGGAGCACTAAAACGTGTCGCAGATCTGAACCTGTGTATAAAGTGGTTCTCCTCCAGGTAGCGACAGCCGAAGGCGATGTCCCTGGCCATCTGCAGCAGCTCCCGCATGGTGAGAGAAGAGGTCTGGCCCTGGATAAAGCATAGCTCCATTTAGCGCGCAGCCACAATGCACATATAGTACACGTATGCATACACACACACACACACACACACACACACACACACACACACACACAGGTGGAGTCCAGACTTACCGCCCGTGGCCTGTTCTGTCTCAGAAAGCTCTTCATGTCTCCTCCCGTCATGAGCTCCAGCAGGATGAAACGAGGCAGGATGTTGAGGCTGACGCCGATGCACCGCACTATGTTGTCATGGCTGAACTTGCTGCAACGACAAACAGTAACACTCCGGTTAGCAGGCTGGCGATTGTGTGAGTTATTTAAAAAAATGAATGCTGGAGAAACAAAAATAAAAAGAGAGCTGTCTCTGTGTGTTTACTACGCCCACTTTTCAGTCCCCGGAGCACAAACACCCGGGAGTTATGAGTTCATCAGTGGAGCTGGGTACCAACCTCCGGGTGCAGCGCTCCTGCCCCCTTTCTCTTCTCGCTTTCTCGTTTCTTTAACGCTGCATGTGCCGTGAACGTTGTGACTGCTGAACTAGCAGACTACAGGTCTGTGAGGTAACCCTCCGTTTTGGCTGGCCAGTTGTTGGGCAGGCGTTTGGTAACCAACCTCGGGAGCTCTGAGGATGTCACGTATGGTTTCTCTGGCATGTACATTCTTTAGGTTGAACTTCATATTTTCTAGTTAGTTTTGGCGTTTTGTATATTATTTTGGCCACAGAGACCCTGACGACCCCGTTCCAACTTGGTTTATTTTTGTTAACCATTGTTATTATTGTTTCTCCTCAGGTTTTCCAGCTGCTTTATCCTTTTATTTTGTTTCAACTTTTACCATGTGCTTCAACAACCATTTGTGTGACTTCATGTGTACCCCAAAGCGTATCAAATAGGCCGTAACAATCTGTCTGCTACATCAACAGTAGTGTTCTTTAATTCTGATGAGTGACGTTTCACATCTGGCTCAAGGTATTTATCTCTAGTCCCGGAAAGCCAGTTGATGCCTCACGCGCACAGATGTTCTGTAAGAAGGGTGTGTTGAGTGAAGGGATGTGCCGACTGCGGCATGGTGCACCTCATAATCAGGGCCTCCATCAGGAAATCCATTTCATCCTGTTCGGAGCAGATTTCTGGAAGAGTCTGTGGAGAGAATCAGAGAAGCAGTTCTGTGTGTCTGCTAGTTTCAAGAGGCAAGATGTCATTAGACCTAATCAGTAGACAATTGAATAGGCAAAAGTATGTTTTACTCAAGCGTTTATTGATCTGAGGCTATTGACTGTCCTTATTTTTCTTCATCCACTCAGGTCATCCCCTCATTGTGTGCAGACACGCTCACATTGCACCCGTTCATTCCCTTTTGGCACCATATTGATGTTTTACAGAACAACATCTTATGTAGTGGGTAAAGCAAATAGCCTGAGAGACGCCTGGCAAAAACCTCATCTTCCCTCCATGCGTGTGCGACCTTTAGAACCAACATGGAAGGAGGCACTGCGGGATGTTGTTGAGTGACTTACAGCAGCTACACGTAACCAACACAACTCCTGCTGAGATGCTATCATATGACGCACGGGTGCAATTTGTCATCATACACCTCACAAAGTGCAAGCTGACCTTTATGGCCACCTGCAGCGGGCTGTTATCGCCGCTCATGCCCAGAACCTGTCCTTCGTAGACTTCACCGAATGCACCATGGCCAAGAGCCCTGACCAAAAAAAAAAAAGGAAAGGGAGAAAGAATTGAAGGGAAACAATCCGTAAAGGTAATGTGGTAAAGGGGATTGGCATGGACAGCCATCAGACGCGTGAACGGACATTTTGACCTTGTTGTCCAGGCGTGCGTTACCTGAGGAGCGTTATGTTCTTGCGTGGCACTTCCTTCAGTTCGTTGAGGCAGGCGGCCTTCCCTGCAAAGCAGTAGTTGGGGTTGTAGTCCGTCATGATGGTGGAGGAGCGGAGCTTGCTCAGCTTGTACTCTGGACTCCACAGATGACCATTCACTGCATCAAGGTTGTTCTTCCTGCGGTACCACACTGAAGACGGAGACAAAACAACGCCAACTTCTTTTAATTCAAAGCCTAAGAACCTTTTTTTTTTTATTACCACACTAACTGGACCCCATTCTTGCATTTAAGTTGTGAAAGCAACTCCCTTACCATTGGCTAACGGTAGAAGCAGTAACACAAGGAGGGGTCGAGCCACATCTCGGTACTGATAACCGTCTACACCACAACCTCCTTATGGCCGGTGGGAAGAAAAGCGTGTTTGCATAGAAGACAAATCCTATGTCACACATCCACATTTTGGTATTTCTGACTTTACTTTCTTACCCTTTATTTGTAGGGTGGGTCTCTAAAGTGTCCCATGTAAAACACTTCAGATAACTGTTTTAAAGAGCAGAGCAAACGTGATGGGTAACACTGTAAATGAGCGGGAAATTGGTATAAATAACGTCACAATAGAATCATGTAAACCTGCATCCATCAGTATTTGGAACCTGTCTATGGAGAGTTCTCGTTCCAGTCTGACGCTTTAAGGTCTTTTTCACTATACATTACATTACAGGTCATTTAGCAGACGCTTTTATGCAAAGCAACTTACATTACACTTCAAACCCATGGCTTTTTTTACATTTTGCCTTGGGGAGCAATTAGGGGTTAGGTGTCTTGCTCAGGGACACTTTGACTTGAGACATGGGGCAGCCAGGACTCGAACCACCAACCTTGCGGTTCCCAGCGCACCCTCTCTACCCCCCTGCGCCACGACGACCTCTTCTCACCGACCTTACCGTACAAACTGACTTCCAATTAGTTCATCATTTAAGTTGTTTAGCAGCTTGACATATTCATATTGATGTTGAAGTGATAAATAGCATCAATACCTCAATTTGACTTACGATGTCATTAAAATGTCAGTCGAGCAAGATAATGGCTATGAAAGGATTTTTCGAACGCAAAAATGCCTCAAAAAATACAATCCATTGGTGAAGAACAGGTTTGGATAACAGCAGCCCTTCAACGAGTCTGGACCACTCGTAAATCGGTTTAATACCGCGGAAGTTTGACTCCTGAGTCACTTGTGCAAACCACTTTAGAACCAATCTGTTGGTACTAGTGGTTCTTGGATGAGGCCAATCTTTTGCAGGATGCATGTGGGATGTCCTCTCCTTGGTTACTGCCCCTAGACTGTCTGTGCCAGTGAGTTTGGACTCACCCGCCATGGAGGCAGCCCACATCCCCGATGCAGGTTGGTAGTCTGCCAGGGAGGGGGGGGCGTTGCGTGCAGGTAAGAGGTGCCGAAGAGCCATCGCCCGGTGCAGATGCTAGGGACTCAGGGGTTTTGGGATGAGGGTTGGGTTGAGGCGGAGGACGAGGAGGAGGAGGAAGGTATGGAGGAGGGTATGGAGGAGGGTATGGAGGAGGAGATGGGGCGCCCAGGGAACAGACTACCTCCCTGCATGGGGGGAGAGCTCAGTTGGAGAGACACTGTTAACCTGGAGCCTGTGTGTAGGTGTGCTTTTTGTCAACGGAAAGCAACACGCATGTACAAATGTTATGTTTTCTTTTAGTATTTGATTTATTCACGCGCAGATTCACACAATCACACTTGGTGCAGTTAGTGAGGAAGCACACCTCCATTGTTCATTAAAAACGCGGGCTCAGTCAGCCCTTTGTCTGCTTCTTATAGGAGTCATACAAGTCGCCCAACCTCCGATTAGCATAACAACCATCTTATCCGTAACCCATCTGCGTATCTATACCGTGCCAAGCTCAAACTCTTTGTATATTTGTTTCACATACGGTTCAAGCATTTTCCTTTGTTGTCTTTTGTGCTGAATCACCATTTATCCGTTTGCCCGCTAATCTTAACCCCATTTCCACGTTAATACTTATTCTCAACATACTTTACTTTACATACTTTTACCCCCCGATCTCTTTCAAGAGGCTTCTCTGGAATTGATGTAGATGTTCCTCTAAGGAATACAATATTACAACAGGTCTCGTTTTTCACTGCACTAAAGTTGTCAAGATACTTTGAATTAGAGTGAGCTGGAAAACATTACAGTGATCTGGTCTCAATGCGAGAAGCAAATCAACATTTAGCTCCTTCAAATATGCTTTTTATTCTTCACTTTCCTCAAAAGAAGTTTATTGTATTAATGTGGTCAAAACCCCAAATTGCTCTCGCCATGGAGCCTGGTTGTTTTGGCTCACGAGCCCGGAGAGCAGAAAATGCGGTTTATGTCTTACAGGAAGTCGGTGCTGTGCAGATTTCTCCAGAGTCCCACACACAAAGTTTAAATTCCACAAGACCAAGAGAGAAAGAAAGTCTGAGAGTGAGAGTCCTCCACTGTCTGAGCTTTACTTATTCACCTCTTTCAGAGGTTAATGAACGGCTTTTAGTGGAGGATTAGTGGGTGGATCAAACGTCAAGATTTATTATCTGCATCCGATAGTTAGGTAAAAAAGATGGCAAGAAAGTTTGACTAGCTTTGAAACCCATCACTATCCCAATTTGTTGCAGATTGCCTGCTTATTTTATTCTTAAAACAGCATTTTCTTTTAAGTGTCTGCAGTTAAAAAAGCTGGATATACTTAACAAGTCAACATTAGACATTAGTCTCTCCTTCTCTTTCCTAGAAGGAAAGGCCACTGAGCAGTTAAAAAGAAAATTATAAAACTGGTTCAATGTTGTTGTCCCTAATTATTCCTTTTTAAGCAGTTTATTTGTGCAAGAATCACCAACAAAGCATTTCACTGATCACAGCGCTTATTTGAAAGGTTGTTCTCTGTGTCAGAGCTCCAATCATTTTCCTCTTGTATCACAGAGAATCAATGCCCAAAGGTGAACAGTCATGCTCCTAAATAGACTAATATATATATATATATATATGTATTTTATCCCGGTTGTCTTTTTTGTTAGGCATCTTTTATGCTTCATTAATCATGATTGCTTCTTTAGGATCGGGGAGAAGGGAGGGGAGGGGGGGTTCATAACACTTGACATTTTATCAAACGCATCATTAGACATCTCCAGCTGGGAAAGTTCCTTGTTTAATGTCAAACCTTTCTGCTTGTCCTCTTAATAGCCAATAATGTATTTCTATCTGCCTTCTATAAAAGCGATCGTGGTGCGGCCAATAAATACATAATCTCCTCTCAATTCTCATTGGCCGTATAATCCAATCACTGTGTGCACGCAACAGAAAGCAAAAAGGTGAGTCACCTGGAATAAGGCTTGTAATAATAAGTGTCCATAAGTGTAATTCAGAGCTCTGTCCTTCCCACAGCCCCTTTAATCATTCAGCAGACAGCCGGAGCTGTGCATCTAACACAGCACTTCGGGAAAAAAAGCGCATTCCCGTTTGGGCAACATCTGCGAGCATCTGTATTCTGCGGCGGCGGAGGCAGCTCACAGCCGGTGGAAGGTGGTGGGTTCGGACCGCACACACAACTGGGAAAGTCTCTTACTCAGAATGACGGCGGTGCCGATCAGCGCCACGCCGCTCGCAACGGTGGAGACCACGACTGCCAGGATGAAAGAGGTGGACATCTTGCCCTGCAGGCCATCGGGATCTGCTCGCGGAGGAGGGAGGAGAAAAGAAGAAGAATTCAAAAGCCGCTTTGGTTTGGATTTTGACGGATTTGTTATTTGAAGGTAAAAAGAGCCGTGAACACATTGCGGCTTTCATACAGGAACAAAAACGAGTGTTTGCTGGAGGCCATCACGTACCCAGGGCGCTGACGCACGTGACGTTGTCGCTGGCCAGGACTTTGTTGTCATCTTCGCAGAGGCAGAGGATGAGCTGGGTATTCTTTTCTCGTTTGCAGCTGCGTGTTTCACAGTGGCTGCAGTTCAGATGCACCTTGATCTCACAATCGCCATGACTCTCCATGGCTACAGGGAACAATGGACACACGGATTTAAAAATAAAATAGATGCAGATCCATGTGCCTTACAAAACATTTCACATTTTTGGGGGATTTTAGATGACGGAGCCACACAAAACAGTGAGAACCTTTCCAGGGACGTGAAAATTCCCAACCAGTCACTTGATGACTTAAATATAGTCCGTCTGTGTGCAATCTAAATGTCACATGACCTAATGGATCACCATTAAATCCATTATTGTAAAATGCAAAGAATGCGTCACCACAACAGACCTGCCAACAGAGGAACAGCACGGACGGCAGCTAAAGGGCGACATTAATCAGAGAGGAGAGACCGAAGACAACCCTGAAGGAGCTGCAAAGCATGCGCCCATTGTGCAACTTTAAGTCGTACACTCCGCAGAGCTGATCTTCAGGCCAGAGAAAAAACAGTGCTTAAATAGAAGAAATAAGAGAATTCCTTCCTGCATGACCTTTGTTCTCTTTTTTGCCTCTTAATGTCCCCCTTTGCTCTCCATGATGTTCTTCTAATGGCAGGTCTGTTGTACATATTATTTCACTTTAGTAATACTGGATGTAGTGGAGATCTGTAAGATCATATGACACTCAGATTGCACACAGGTGGACTTTACTTAAATAATCAAGTGACTTTTGAAGGTAATTGGTTCAGCTGAAACATCTTAGATATGAGCCTGTACGTAAGATACATATATATTGTTTAGATCTCGCTTTGAATCCACTCCACGTTTAAACACTGCTGAGGCAGCCGCTGTGTTTGAAAGCTTCGACCGGCAGCACAAGCAGCAGCAGCAACAACAACAACAACAACGACGACGACGACGACAACGACGTCTTTCACATGAGACCGGAGGGTCGTCTGTTGGCGCCAAAAGCAACAAGCTACACGAGGCTGTGAATTAACCAACTGCCTTCCGCTGAATAATGAGAATCAGATGGTACTTTCACAAACAAAACACAGTTTAGACGCACGCACACACACACACACACACACACACACACACACCCAGGAGCTCACAGGATCAGTCCGTCTGTAGCATGTTTAATGTTGTCTGTTCCTTCAGTGGGTCCGACCAGTGGAGCTGTGATATTACTCCAAATGTGTCCTTCAGTTTTCATATTAATTATGACAAAACCTCAAGACGCCTGGTGATAATCAACTGGACCGCATTTCACCGTCTACGAATGTAATAGAACAGAATTTTTTATTTTCACTTGAATGCCTGGATTCATGTCCATGAATTTGTCAAATTTCTCGATTTATTTATTTATTTTCTCAAGTTTGATGTTAATTTACTACTTTACCTTCCTATATTGTATTTGGTCAAATCACATCGTCTTAATCTGTTGACGGCGTTTCATGTCTTTGATCTGTATTCTATTACTCGTCTCATGGTCTTCATCAGCTCTGTACTGCACTTAAAAAAAAATGATTTTCCACAAACTACAACTGAACTCTGCTCTAGTTTACAAAAAAGAAATTCTCTATTCAATAATGGCCATTTTTTTGCTTTCAACTGCATCTCACAGTCTTCATCAGCAGACTCCCTATTTCTTCACCAATTATTATGGAATTTATAAGCAACACCGTCTGGATAAAATGATGGTTTGATGCCAGTCTCACCTGCCAGAGGCTGAAGGAAAATCTCTCCCATCGGATGAATGAATGAGATTCCGTTCTGACCGTCGGATGTGATCTCGTCCTTCAGTGCGGCGTCACCTCCTGCGAGGAAATGTGGATCATCAGTATCACAGCCTAATGTCAAAACCCCACAATGCTCAGAATGCGATGTCGTTAGAGGGTGACAGACGTTACCTCTGTAACCTCCTCCACCGCCTCCAGCCGTGCAGGCCCCACCTCCACCCCCAAATCCCCCAAAGGTCGACCAGCTGAGCTTGGACAGGGCGAGGGAACACGAGGACCCCCCCTCGGCCCCCTCCGCCAGAGACTTCCCCGCTTTCAGGTGGGAACTTTGACTGTCTTTCCAGCCTCCACCTCCACCTTCGAGGACGCAAACATCCAACAAGCACAACATTACACAGCCTTTTATCACGTGTTTTATATGTTAAATATATTATGTAAGGGGGGGGGGGGTGTTTGACATCAGCAGGACACTAAAAAACCTTTTCATACAGTTGAAATCAGGACATATTAAATAGTAGGTATTTGATTTTTTTAAAACAGCACACACACACACACACACACACACACACACACACACACAAATGCACAACCACATCCACACACTACTAAGAGCTGCATATTTCTCCCGACACTTAAATCTTTATCTAAACGAACGCACAAAGGTTTCAATAAGATGAGCCGGTGGACGGTGTGTGTTGAGACAGAGAGGATTTACTGAGAACATTCCGGCAGACGTTCCCAAGAGCAAAGAGAGACCTCTGCACCATATAGGTCTCTGCTCCAACCTGTCAACAGGCTAAAAATACGACCCGGATAGATCCCATTATCCGCAGGCCAAACCCATCCCGCTGTGCGAGAATGTGTGCGAGCATGCGGTCCAGTGTGTGTACGGAGCAAACGAATCCTCTCGTGGCCTTCAACCAACACGTCTCCGTGAGCTGGTTTGTAACACTACCGCTGTCAGAAATGAATCTTCATTTGAGACTCTCAGGTCAGTGTTCTCCGAAGAAAAGTTAATCATCACCTTTGTTCCACTAGTCTCTTCAGAGACGTGAAATGCTTTGATGCCTCGGCCTTCGAGGAAAAGGCCACCAAAGCTTGTTCACGTTACTCCAAATTACTCACAGGCTTCCCTGTCAAAACATTTCATTGGAACTGGTTTTGGTGTTGAAAGCTCCCTCAGTGGACTATCCACTGTAAACCCGGGACCTCTTATTCTTAAAATAAATTATATTGAGCCTCATTGTATCAAGGCGGCCGGAGGAATCTCAAACTCCAATTTCACACACAACGCAAAGTGTCTACAAACCGCTCAGCGATCAGTAGGACTGCTTGTAATAAAGTACCTGCAGCCCCGGTCTGGCCATTGGTGCTGGGAGCCATGGTGCTGTTTTCATACTGTTCCAGTTCTAACTTCTCCAGACTGGACTCTGGGTCCTCCAGGTAGGCGTTTCCTCCTCCACCAGCCGCAACCAGCAAGGGAACCAGGTCATCTCCCTCCATCTGACGAGACACCACCACCATAAATCTCACACACGGGAGGCCCTTTGAACTCCGTACGTGATCGATGATGCAAATGAAAACAGTTGCAGCTAAACACTAACCTGCCAATTAAAAGGGGAGTTTTGTAGGTATAAAGTTGCAGCAGGGAAGCAAATCCCACATGATCCGGAAAAAGTTATTACAGATGGGAGATCATCATTGTTTTTCATTTTAAAACAGCTCTGAGTGGATTATTGAGAGACACTGGTATCAAAGGTATCAAACGAACCCACAGAAAGGACACACAATACTGACACAGCCCAAGTGTCTCGCCTCACCTTAAAGATGTAGGTGGCTCCGCCTCCTCCGCCTCCTCCTCCGGCCCACTCCACACCGCTCTCCCCCCTCAGTTTGTCTTCAATCACTGACGACTCTCCCAGGCAGATCCTCTGCGTGTGGGGGTTTCTCTGCGTCACGATGGAAAGCCAGATTTGAAAAAAAAAAGTCATGATTCCAGCAGGCAAATCCACATCCCAGAGGTGCAGCTTCCCCCTACTGACCCCGGGGCACGCGTCCTCTCCCTGGTGGCCCACCAAGATGTACAGAATATCTCCTTTCTCCAGAGGAAATGTGCCAGATATGAAGACCCCGTGGTTGCGCTTGTTGTGGTTTTTGGCTCCTTTCCCTCCTGCGGCCCCGTAAGCGGAGATCCTGAGGGATAACATCGCGCCACAAGGGGTTCAAATACAGCGACTGGAAGAACTAGACGCTAAATGAACGGACACGCGTCGGTTACAGCGCGCAGTCACCTGTTGTTTTATCAAGATTACATGCACAGACAGCATTTAAGTGTGTTGCACAGCCTTGCTTGTCTCCTCAGTAACTAAGCTCCTAGAAATGACCTTTGAAAGTTTTAATGTTAACCGATAAGGGAAACCTGGGCTGCTCCTGGTTAAAAGGAGTTGCTGTCGGCTTTGGGCTTTTAATGGGATTGGTTGACAGTAAGAAACATAAATATTATCTTGAGATACTGTAACTAACCCTCAACATTAAAGTTCAGGTAGAAGAGCCATAAGTCATCCCCTCTATCACTTACAGGTATCGGTTTGTAGCAGGGACCCTCCACATTTGGACTCCTTTCAAGGGATCTTCCTTCCCCACAGTAACGCTGACATTTTGGTTCCTGTAGGTGCTGTCACACTGGGCCTGGGTCGGGCCGAGGGGACCACTGGCACCACATGAGTTGAACAACCACGTCATCAAAGAAACCTCTGGAAAAATGGAGAAGAAACGCTGTCATGAGCTGCTGGAAGGTGGATCTGGAGGTTTGTTGAGTGTGTCGGTTTAAATCAAGGATTCGTTTGGAAGGAAATAACAAAAACACCAGAAAATTGGAAAGAAACATTAGAAACATTAAATTAAGATAGTCAACATTGAAGACACACTGGTATGTGAGCCCTGAATAATACGAAGGTGTCAGTACCTGAGGCAGAAGGCTCTGGGAGGGCACTCAAGAAATCCCCCGAGTGACCCAAGGGCAGGAGCGAGTTCAGATCTGAGATGAGGCCGGATGACAATGAAGAGAAAGGTGGGGGGAATGAGAGACACTGCGTTAGTCAAACATGTGCATGTCATTGAAGCATTACTCACATTCAGACAGGAAGTAGCCTTGATCAAAGGATATGAGAACAATTCAAATATGGGTATTTTGGACGAACATGAACCCAATTCCTGAGATTAATTTCTGACCAGGAAACATCATGAAATCATTTCTGCATCACTCGTCCTCTGCCACTATCGAGCATCCAGATGGGCGATTCAGTCCGTTTCCTAGCAGATAGCGATATTCGAAATGTGTCCAACCCAAGACCAGTTATCCACTGTCCACTGCACTGTCCTTTGCCTATGCGATGTTTCTGATTCGTCTTCTTGGTCTTTTACACCATAAAAGCAAACAAGTCTCCCCAGCGCCACGAGATCCCAGAAAGCACTCAAAGATGACATTTGGAGAAATATTGTGCTAAGTTATGGCTTACTGAAGCTTCTCTGCGATCCTAAATTGATGACAGCTAGGAAAGCTTCCAATCTTATCCAGCTGGACCGGAGCAACATCCAGAATATTCTACCGTAGACTGTCCCTCCCCGCAGATTTTAAACCACCCTTCCCTTAAATCAAACACACAAAACGGACTTATCCACTGCACGAAAGTCAGATTTCACGTCTGTGTTTCCACTTTAGTTCATGTTGAGTAATAAAATACACACTTGAACACAGCCGTCCGAGTTGTTTAAACATCCTTTCACGTGCATTGTGAGAATAAACAAACTCCAAAAAGTATTGTGGCATTTTTCTTGCTGTATTGCAGTTTGCAACAAGGTATTACATATTGACTGCCCTTACGTCACAAACAATCAAGCACCAAACGTGTCTGAACAGAGACTTAAAGTCAAATGAGTGAGCGAGGGTGGCTGCACGCCGAACGTCACTAAGTCTTGACAACAGTCTCAACAGTTGTAGGAGGTTTTTTATATTTAAATCTCTATATATATATATTTATTTATTTAAAACAAGAGGAGATGCATCATACAAATGACGCAGCAACAACAATTTGACAAGATCATCAAGGAAACAAAAAAATTTAATGAAACACAATTAAATGCACCATGTAATCTTGAAGCCTGTAACATTTTGGAATGTCGTGTTAGCAACAACTCACCCGTCTCGAAGCAGGCAGCACCAATTGCAATATCATCGAGGGCAACATCAGCATTAGAGCCTTTTTCCCACACAGCTGTCACCTTGACGTGGAACCTGGACCAGAGCACATACCATCTGTGCATTTAGAGTTTTAACGCTCAATGTGAAAGGCAGAGGGAACTGCATCCTAATACGTGTACAGTTTGTAGTGAATAGTGAATGATTAGTCAAATCTTGAAAACTGTTTTAAATTCTTTAGATAAAAGCTGCAATTTTCCTCTTTTTCAGAGCCTGATATGAATAAAGGTCGGTTTCGATTCTATGATAGAGGTAACCGTTATGAATACGATAATAAAATATGCCTGGACCCTTTCCTGCCTTTACACACCCATGCTGAAGGCCAGTCAGCTGCAGGGCAACATCTTCCCAGTCGTCCTTCCACTGATCATTTCTCTCCCAGACCAGTGGAGCCGCTCCAGTCCCCTTCTCCTCTATAGCCACCAGCAAAGTGCCATTAAAGTTCCCACGAAGGTACAGAGAGAAACGCAACTGTACGGAAAAACAGACACACTTTCACAAAGGGGCAACAGTCATTTTGCCAGCGCAGTCTCACAGGCAGATGTGTGTAAGTAACCGACCTGACATGCAGCAGTGGAGATGATGGGATGAAAAGACGAGCTCTGAATGGACGCCTCTCGCAGGGAATTACTCTCTCTTACCTGCAGAAACAGGAAGTGCCCTGTGGGGGGGAGGGGGGGGGGGGCGCACAATAAATGTGACACATCAGAACACGACCCAGCTCTGGAAATAAACGTATCTAAATATTCGGCATGAGAGATCGAGTCAGTTTTAGATAATTAAATATCAAAACCCTTTGATGCTGCGTTTGCTGCAGCTGGATCAATTCGTGAAGCGGTTGAACCTCATAGTAAGCTAGTTAGGAATTCCTGTGATTATCTCGGTGGACAACACTCAACAACAAATACATAAATAAATAAATATTCTACATTTTGACATGCCTGTTTGAGAATAAGGTTTCTGTAATGAGCATCGTGAGATTTGTAGTGAGATAACGTTGCATTTCTCTATAACCTAGAAATTCATCAGAATGGGACAACACACAGACACACAACCTGGTGTTCTCTGTAGAGTGACACCCTGCATGTCTTCTCTCTCCTGAAATTCGTGTCCAGCTACTCTTCTCCAGGCCGAGTGCTGGCTGGAAGCAGACCAACCGCATTCATCCTCCTCAAATGAACAGTGAGATCCAAATGGAAGAGCACCTGGTGAGGAGGAAGGTTGTTATATTATTTCACATGGAAAAAGATCCCAGCTGCTAAAATAATCCATATTTCCTTTCCTTGTGCCTTCTCCTCTCCCAAAACCCCCCAAAAAAACATTTATTGCAGAGCCTCTTATAGGAAATGTGTTAACTTAATTTAAAGAGTCTCCGATAAAATTGACATCAGATAAATACAAAATGTAACATAAAGAAAGAAAAATGGCATTTCCCCAAATAATCTATTGCTTTAGTCACATTGTACATCAGATATATCAGACAATTAAAGAGTTAAGGGGCCTGTTCCTTTACAATACATGTCATTTAGCTGACGCTTTTTATCCAGAGCAACTTACACCCGTTGTTTTTACATTTTGGCCGGGGAGCAGTTGGGGTTGAGTGTCTTGCTCAGGGACACAAACGGGCTTCGAACTGTCAACCCTGCGGTCCCCGGCGGACCCTCTCTACTCCACGCGCCACCGTCGCCAGGCGACGACACAAATTAACATCATTCTTTTCATCTTTTCATTCTGCCATTTATAAAATGTCACTGTGGTCTTTTGACAGTATTTCCTAAACACATTTTACTGCTGGGCCTTTGAAAAAATGACTGTGACCAACCATCATCTCTACCACAGCTTAAGGACTGCAAAAAGACCCAACTGGCATTGATTTCATTTATTGACGATGCTGATTCTCGCTGTGGTGAAAAGTTTCTTTCTGCTGAATTATGGATGTGAGACAAACACAAAACTTCCAAATGGGGGAAAATTACAGGTATTAATCAACCTCCTGAACCTTTTCCACAGCATAGTTTTGTAATCTTGGATTTCATAACACCCATAAATCCATAACAGGCGTTTGATATTAACACGTTATGAATGAGGTTTAGGACATTCTTATGACATGATGTGTGATAACAAAGAGCAAAGCATATCTCGTTTCTAGCAATACAACAAAAGAATTCCCAGCTAAAAAACACAGGCCCTTGGCATAGAATAATCTGGTTTCACAAAATCTCACCACAGATGAAGCCCTCGTCCTCCCCTAAAGGACAGTCGGTGTGAAAGTTGCACACTTGGCTCTGGTCGATGCAGACTCCGGAATTCTCACAGTGGAAAGATTCCCCACAAGCCGCCTCCAGTCCGAGGAACTGGTGATCTGCAACCCAGCAACCACACAACGAGATAAGACGATCCTTTCTCAGTCGGCCTTTTTGATTTCATGTTGAGTGTCAGATTGGATTGGACTTCCCAACACATCTGCCATTTGACTGCTGTGCTGATAGATGAACATTCACGCGATGAACTCACCCGATTCACAGTCTATGAACTCCAGAGAGTCCAGGGCCAAGGTGCCTTCACCTGTCCTCAAACAGGAAGTGTAGCGCAGGATCACCTGGAAGGGCTCGTCCACTTGACCAATCACATTCTGCAGAACCTCCCAGTCAGCCCTACGTCAACCAATCATGCAGACATTTATTGTGAGGTCAAGTGAAGGAATTTACAACTTCCTACTTTTATCATTTTGTCATCATCTTTTACGTTTTATACTCTTTGGAAACCTTTAAAGATTCTGCATTAAAAATAAATCCTTGCGGTCAGAAATATGAAAAGCAACATACATCCCAGAAATATATAAATGTATTTATGTTCCATGTTCACAATAAATGTTATTAGTTAGTAAATTAGTTATAAATTAGACCTGCATCGTTTGACATTTCGGACTCTTTAATTCACGCTATTTTCTGACAGTAAGGAAGAAAATGTTTTTTTTCCTGCCATGACAGCAACCGACGCAACTACAGCAACTCTCATAGAGTACAGTCCCGCTAAAGACTTTCTCTTCACTGAGCTTTACTTCACACAGTACAAATCGATCTCTCCGTGTCCATCTCTAATAATAGACCCATGGTTTCACAGCGTGATCCAAATTGTACATTTAGTTGAGTGGGCAATGTTTCATTGTTGGGAACATAAATTAGAACAAATATAATGCTCATAAACTTTGGTCCATGTCCAACCGGGGGAATTATCCCTTTGTTTTGCACGAAGAAGAGCAGTTATTGAAACAATCAGTTCAGATCGAGTACACACAGTAAACACAGTTGTATGTAATGAAGAGTGGGCTGAATAAATGAAACCACAGTGTGTGTTCCTAATACTGGGATTGCTCAGTCCCTCGTTGAACAGACACTAACAAAGCCAACGCAAAGCCCTGCTCATCCATTTCTCTTCTGTCCAAACCAATTACATATAAATTAATTTCCAGAGTCTGTATCCAGACACATGAATCCTTTTAGCTTCTCTAAAGAGGGCTGCACTGCAGCATTCGATCAATAGGAAATACCTGCCCCCATTTCACAAACAATACGCAGAGGGGACCGCAACAACAGTTGTTCTACGTGACAGGAACATTTTCTTTATTTAACTTTATCTCTCAGTAAAAGAAATAGGTTCCTGTGTCCTTGCTCCGTCAGAAGGCCTGTGTCACCCTTTCACTGCAGCGGATCTAAGCTCCCTTGTGTTCATTTTATAACTTAACTTCATCAACTTGACAAGCACTTCAATCAGTGAAGATGCAGGGTTTTTTTTTCTATTTTTGACACTAATTAAATGGCCGTGCCGTGCTGCATAATAAGTACACATCTATTCTGCACAAATGGTATTGAAGAGGCTCGGGGAGCTTGTTGACCTGCGGTTATCCGGTGTCCTGCGGTGGAGATCCACAGAGTGACCCGCTGAGCCCGAGTCGACTGGCTTGATCAGGAGCGAGAGGTTCCCCACCGCCGGGCTGGATTCGTACACGGCCACCTGCAGGATGCAGCGGCCGTCGCTTCCTGGCAGGACCGGGCTGGTTAAGTGGTGCTCGCATCTCCCGGGGGCCTCGGCAGAAGCCCAGGAGCTCAGCAGGAGGAAGTGCCCTAAGAGTAGTAGTAACAAATACATTAAACAAATCTCGCAAGAGACATTTCGATGCACCAAGCACGAAACAAAAAGGGAGACGTATAGATTCAAAAGAGCTCTGAGTCGGTCCAAAGATCCAAAAATATGAAAAAGTCCTGTTCAGTATGACGAGGCATCCATTTATTGTTGTTCATTATTTTACCCCTTGTGCACTCTTACCGTCGGAGCTCCCCACTGAGTGATCAGTCACTGGCATCGTCGCCGTCTGAGTGCTTTCTGGTTGCCGTGGCGACCCCACTGACCAGTCACTTTGGTCGCCGTGATTTGATAAAGTCCAGTGGCATACTGTCTCAAAATCGCACGAGGTAACTGGAAAACAGAACGATAAGAGAGTAGCTTGTAGCTTAGTGTTTGTTTGGGTAAATGTTCAAAGATAAACACTAAAAAGCAATCGGAGTGCAATGGCAGTGATTTATGGTTCAAATCGATTTTGTTTGTAAGTGTAAAAAAGGAGGGCGTTTGTCATCTACAGCTGCTGTTTATTTACTTAATATGTATATAAATATTTATACGTACTAAATCTTGACTTTTGCAGGAGTTTAAACATTTCCCTCCTTTAAGATGAGTAAAAACAGCAGAGTGAGAAAATTTTTTTGCCACCTGGATCATGACCTCCACCCCGAACTAATCCCATCCAGGGCTCATGGGCAAAAAGTCCTCGAAGTCTTTTAAAGATCTGCTCAAAAGTCAAACAGATAGACCCTTTGTACATTTTTTGTGCATCTGTGTGTGTGTGTGTGTGTGTCGGGTTGAGGGGGGCATTCAAGACATCATGTGACGGTTCAAGAGAAAACTTCAAAAGTCTTCAAATCTATTTGGGGGTAAAGGCCACAGTATTCATTTTTAACTTGTCATTTAACTGGAAACCACTTTAATGTATTTCTTTCACAAATTAACTGAACTTCCAATTTCTTTAAATCACAAAAGAACATGTTTTCCTGTTGTTGTCCTCATGCTGCTTGTGAGCTGCTTTCTAAACGTCACCTCAACATCATAACGAGCACGATTAAAGACTACTTACATTACATTAATACAGGTTTTTAGTGCAAGCAATGACGTCTTTCTGTTTGTGTGTCACACATCGGGGCATGACTCTTACTTTGGATGTCATCTTCTGAGTCCAGATGATGGAGGAACCTCTGATCTGAGTAGTTCTCCGCAAGAAATCTGTCCAAAAGAGCATTGCAGGTACCGGCAACTGGAGACGGACAGACGGACACGTTTTACAGAACTTGTTTTGATTATAAAGGCAGGTCTTATGTACAGTACTGCAAACTGCTAAACAATACATTTCGTTCATTACAATCAGTTGGAAAACTGTTGAGGAAACAAATAGAGCTCCACAGGAACGTTGTTCCAATGTGTTAAAATATCTGAGGAATACGTCCCTGTTCAAAGCGGGGAAGTTATGAACGCAGCCTGCAGTGGATTGATCTGTAAGCGCTGCTATGGACTGGCGTTCTGCCCGGGCTGCATTGAAATGGACTCCAGAAGATTAAAAAAATAGTAAACTCACAGTGAAAAACAATACAAATTGCGATGGAGAAAACACACAGACTGAGAGCAGCGTGATTAAACACAGGTGGAAGAACTCGGTGTGGGTCCAACAGTCAATAAAGTGGAAAAAACACACAACGGGAAGTAAAGCCAGACATGAAACCACGAGGCGTATGGCAAAGTATCCGTGGAAAACTATTTATTTAAATCTTTTGAAAAATGCACTTAGTCACCGTGTCTAAAAACACAAAACAGACACCGTTGGTTGTGAGCCTCAGCCCGGTGCATGCTGGGAAGGACTCCCGGTAACTCCTGGACGTGACGAGTTTATCCAGAAATAGTGCCACCGTGGACTGATCCACTCACAACAAACTACCCACAGACACGGTCTTGTTCTGGGGGACGGCTGAGAGGGAGGGAGGGCGCTTCACACGTGACATGCCATTGAACATACTAGCTGGCATGACCGGTAGACAGTGAGGGAGATGATCGTGTCCACGTGGGGCATTTGCAATTTAACCCCTGAAGTGGCCTCTGAACAGTGACGTTACTGTTCTCTGGAGGCTGAAAGGGAAGGTCACGTGGGTCAAGCGGGACAAATTGAGACACTGAGAGGACAGTTTATAAAAAGCAGTTATTGATGACAATGACGAAGGGTGAGGGGGATTGTGTATTTAAATGGCAGAGTAGATATTCATCTGTAATTATGGAATAAAAGCAGCTATGGATAGATTTCTGAATACAGAAACCGGAAAATTGTCACACTTTTTAAAGAGGAGGATTCAGCCAAATAACAAGCGTTGACATTCTATAATTGACATGAAATAGCAAACAGTTATTTTGGAGTTCCCGACAACATGAACGTATAATTATTGCCTCTAGTTCATTCCCTTTTCACCATATCAAGTGTAGATTTGTCTCATGTCCAGGCAGCAGGGCAGCTAGTTACTCTGACGATAGTCTTGGACGCCGGCGACTGTTTTCAAATTTAAACAGTGTGTAATCTGTGATGTCTGGCGCGTGGTCTTCAAATGAATCCCAAATACCTTCATAGGACAGAGGCCGTATCGGGGTCAGATCAAAGATCAAAGATTGAGTTCGCTGCTACTCGCAGTTTATTTCATTAGTTTGGTTTGTGGCCGACTGAAAGGCCAACCAGTGGCCACGGATCGCTTCTAGCTTTTACGACGTAAATGTGAAGATGCAACCAACTCAATAATAAGCTTGTATGTTGTCTTCTGTTACGGCTGACATATTTACAGGCACAGATACTTTTTTGTCAGGCATGTTTTCTCGTTTATTTGGAAGGGAGGTTTTTAACAATCAGAAGCGGAGCTTAAGTAACGAACCCCTCGATCTGAAACATCTTTTGACTTTTAACTTTGCCGCATCACGTGTGAGGACAGATGAAGTAGGTGTGCATTTGTGAGCTCATTCGAGAGTTTCTAAGAACTTTACATAAGACGTGAGCAAAACAGGCCAAAACAAAGAAAACTCTCGCACGGCATCGAGGAGACGAAGCTTGGGCCGTCTCGCAGTCCTCGAGGGTTCAGGACCCTCTTGCAGACATTTTACACTTTCCAAAAGTCCTTTATCAGGGAGAATTACCTGCATTTCAAAGCGTTTTGATGTTCAGGACGACCAATGTGTTCAACCCGGCATTTTAAATGTACACATACTTTACAGGAATTAAGACATAAACACACAGGAAAGCAGAGGAACGCAAGCATAGTTTCTATTATGGACCTGGTTTATGCATCAAACTCTTCATTGACAAAAACAACTACATAGATTTGATAATCACTCCACATGTTGTATGGCAGGAACCTCGTATGGTCTTAAAATCAGGGAGTTTGGTGTCATCAGAGTAGATTCCTATTTGAAGCCTCACACACTGAACCATTGAGCGGCTGATGTCCGTGAAGCCCCCGAGGGTTCAGGGCTTTGGACTATGAGGGGCGGCGGGCCTTTATGTTGTGTCCGTCACTACAATAAATCCTGAGCAGAAGTCTGCAAACATTGTCAATGAAAGCTCACGGGGGGGGTTTCTAAGCTTCAAACTAAATCCAACGAGGGCAGCTGCCTGTCTTCACACGCAAGTCAGACCGACTTTTTAAGAGGAGACATTTTTAGCTTGAAGGTCTTGAAAGTCTCCACAAACTTCCAAATGTTGATATTTCTCTCCTTTATTCTTTGTCGCTTCTGTTAGTATTTAGGTCTGTAGCTAAAGTTTTTTTTTATTATCCAACAATCTGTCAAATAAATTCTCAATAATTTCATTGATTTTGTTTTAAAAAATTAAAAAAAAAAAAAATTCTATTTAAACTCTATATAAAAATAAATGCTCTCGGGGATCATTTCCAACAGTCAAAAACTGTCATTCTTGTATGAGATGGAAAATTGTAATTATCTTGATTGGAGAGGCTGTAATCTTGAGATATTTGCTTAAAAATGATTAGTTAAGTGCTTATTCATCTTTTGTCTATTGACTAATTAATTAACTGATGGATCATTTCCAAACATTTCCCCCGTGTCCTGTGTTTAAATCGGACACTTGAAGTTACTATAGATACCATGTTTTATTTATGACCTATTTTAGGACATTAAACAAATAGGTTTCTTTTGTTACTTGATCTCTTTTAATCTACCATTGTCATGAAATAACTTCTGCTGTGATGTTGTGCTATAGATCCAAAGAGGTCAAAGCATAACAGCGACATCTCTGTCATCTCTTCTTAAATACCATTGGATGTGAAAGTCAGCCGGATAACAATGCTGATATGACAACCAAATAGGGTTCAAATGTTTTTCTGCAGCCAAAACTGGCTCCACTTACAGTAGTTATTCAATTTTCTTTTCAAAAAGGGTTAACAAATAATTCAGCAGGAATAAAAAGAATTCCAGGAACATTTCTTTCACATTTGCTTCTTGCACGCTTGATTGTATGTCCCTGCACATGCTCTTTGGAATAATGATATCGTCTAAATCAAATTTCCTCTCTGGGATCAATTATGTTCAATATGATCTAATTGAATAATTAAACTGTATATCCATACGGCGAGCTATTTGTTTTTAATACGTCCGTTCTCATTGGATTATAGGACAAAAATAAGAGAAAACAAGACAAAATTCACTCAAATTGAAAAAGCTCAAAAGTATGACTGCTTGTCTCACAAACTGAACTAGTTTTGAAACAGGTCAAAATGATGAAGAAAGTCATAGCATTTGAAAAATAATCTAGTCAGTTCAAGTCTGTTTTATTTATTTAGAGATAATAACTCTATCCACTAGATAATGTTTAGAAATTCATAAATTATTCTGATAATTTCAGACAAAACTGCTGCCCGATTCGTGGGGAATATGAACAATGAATTAGTTAATAAAGCGCTACGTTTATCCGTGGAGGTTGTTGGAGGGGACGATGGGCTTACAAACAACAGAACATCATTTTTTCGTGTGCTTTACTCTGTAAGAACTCAATCTTGGGGTTGTGACCCCATGTGGGTCACGTAAACAGATGGGGTCAGAAAATATATAAAGGTATTTATTATTTAATGTGTAAGTCAACATTAGGCTTGACTGAAACATTGCTTTCCTAACTTTGTTATTAATACGTACCGTAGATATAAAAATAATGGATTGTTACTCCTCGAAAAAGTGGTACCCGATACGCAACCTATCTGTATGACCGAATATTGATCTCAATTCAATCTGGTGGAGGATTGAAATTCATTCCCAATGCGAACAGTTTGTTTATGATAGATTACCAGTAAGAAACGATTAACAATGTGGAGCTTATAAAAACATAATTTAATTCATTCGAGGGTTTCTTTTTTCAATGGAAACATGTACCCACTTAAAACTTAAACAATACCTCCAACCTTTGCTTCAAACTTTGTTTTTCTTATGTATTACATCTCTCAACCGCCCGTCTCAAACTGCAAACACACATATGGGCTCTCGTCTGCACTTAAGAGGCCCGTCCAAAGGAAGCAAACACACATATTTGGTAACGTGGAGCCTCTGAAGCAACAGCTGGAAGGCGTCTAGTGAAGATTGAAGCAAACAGAACTCTTTAGCGTCATGTGCGGTTATTTAATGATCTGGCTATTTATTGAAACTTTGTCCGCGCCCCGTGTCCTACTACTAAAACCCGTCTGTGGTACGTACAATGTTATCTTAACTTGCTCACTCTGTGCAGTTCCGCGAAGCCCATAACGTTATAAAATAAAAAAAATAAAGATAACAATTAGATCAGATTCTCCAAATGGGGTTTTTCATGTTGCATTGAAGTTAACTCTAGAAACCACTAAGCCCCGCATGCAAAGACCAGAGCACAGAGGCCCTAAATGAATCAGTAAAAAGGAAAATGTTAAAAGCTACTTTCACCAGAGAAAACTGGTAACAATTGGTGGTTCTACCACGTCCTTGTCCTTCACATAAGGAGAAATTGTTTAGATTTACTCAATACTCAAAAGTTATAGTGCTGCATTCAAAACATTGGTCGCGAAGTAGCAGTGACAACATTAGTTTAGAGCAAGTAAAAATACTCATTATATTCCTAAATACATATTATAATTAATCATATTTTGAAAGTCTGTAAAAATGTCTCAAAGTGTGCGACAGCTCTAACCCTTTTTGAACAAAGTGGACTCGATCTAGTTCACCTCCTAAATATGGAAAAAGGTTACAGAGTAACGA